CCCGAGAGTTCCAGGAGCTGAGCGAAGCGGATGGCCGGCTCCCCGCCCAGCTGCCTCCCTTCCTCTGCCGTGCCATGGCGCAGGCACATCAGGACCAGCAGCTCCCCGTCCGTCTGTCTCGGGGAGAAGGACTCATCCGCCAACGTGTCCCACAGGACCCTTGGAATGCGGTCCCAAAGACGAGTGTAAGGCGGGCGCAAAAGAAACTTTGTAGAGACCCTAGCCATGATGAAAACGGGGGGTTCGAGCCTCCTATCGAACGGCCGGGACCCAACCACGGCACACTGCACGCATGTTCCAACCCCACAGGATGCCGAATGCAAATGGGGCAGGCAGGCCACATGCAGCCCAACAGGACCCAAAAGTCAAACCCCCGGAAATCCCCAAAAAGGACCACGGGGGGGAAGACCAACCCAGCGGGGGATTCCCCAAATTTTTAGGGGACCTCCGGGAACCCAGAGTCAGCCGCAGCCACTTTCCCCAAACTGTGGCCGGGCAGCCTCCAGTTCGAGGCAAACCGGCAGTCGTGATGCGTTGAACAGGGGGGGGAAACCCAGGTGAAGGAGGAACCCAAAGGGAACACCCTTACTCCTCCCCCCACCCGAGACGGGGCCAGAGGCACCCAAGTCCCGGTGGGAAGAGATCTCACGACTCCCCATCCAAAAAGGCTGTGAGACACGACCTAGCGGCTCTCACCCTTCAAGATCGCCTCCTTAGCCACCGAGTGGATGGCCGCCAGCCCTGACTTCTCCGGGTTGCTCAAGATGACCGACCACAAGGCAGTGGAGACATCCCCCAGGCCATTCGAGGAGCTGAAGCGCATGCGCGGGGTGCTCGCATCTCCAAGGACTAGCCGCTCGTCCCTGGGAGGCTCCGTCGGCTCCACCCGCTTGTAGAACTCCATCCTGTCCCGAATCCACTGATTATATAGCTGCTCCGGGGGCTCGTCCATCACCAGCTGCAGGCATGTGGCCTTGTCCTTGTGCCACCCCGTGATCTGGAGCAGCCTGGTCCCCCCGCGGCTCGCCCTCCAGAAGCCCTTGCAGAACCTGCACATGTAGCCCCCGGCGGTCTTGAACTTCTCCTTGCCCACCACTTCCCAGGCGCTGATGCTGGGCAGGACCAGGCCGCACTCCACGGAGGCCCAAAACACGTGCTTCGTCTCCTTCGGGAAGTGCTTGTTGATGTACTTCCGGCCCGCGACCGCCGTGACCGTGGACGTGGTGATCGGAGGGTACCGCCTGGTGCCCTGGTCCGGCGTGCGGAGCGTGGTGTCCGCTCCCCCCAGAATCTTGGCCTTGGGGTCCGATTCCTTGGCCGCTCCGCCCCCGGGGCCAGAGGCACCCAACAAAAGGAACAACCCAGCTGCCTGATAAGGTCCTGGGAGTAGCCCAGCCGGTCGTACAGGGCCCCCGCCGCCTCCTGCGGGACCTGCTCCACCCAGTCATGGGCCACGTTGCCACGCCAGTTGACCTTGACCTCCACCATGGAGGACTTACTCAGGCCCGACACCAGCTTGGTGTACACCGAGTCGAAAGCCCTCAACGATGACAGCGGAAGGGTGATTCGCTCGTCACAGACCGCCCTGAAACGCAGCGCCTCCTTGCTGTCGTGGACGGGGGCCACTGGGATCTCCATCACCGGCAATGGGCAGTTAACGATGAAATTCTTGGCCGCCAGAAACGTCCCCATCTCCTTGCAGGCTCTCCAGGAAGGGGACCGCCTTGCGGCCCCGTCGCTGCGTCTTCACGGCCAGCGGGAAGGTGGTCCAGGCCGAGTAGATGTACTTGGAGGTGAACCTGTGGGCGTACACCCCCGTCAAGCTCGGCAGGTCCCACGTTCTCGTCTGCCTTGTCCAAAACACTCCATCGCCCTTCGCCCAGAAGATCCCCACCACCTGCTCCGGTGCCGGGCGCTCGCCCCGGTTCACCTGCGCTCGGATCTCCAAGGCCGAGTAGATGACAGGGTCGATGTGGTCCTGCTCGCACGTGAGTGGGTGGGTCCTGCGTTCCAGGGCCAGAAGCTCCTCCGGAGTGAGCTTGAATTGCTGGTCCGCGCCCTTGGGGATCTCACCGCTTGAGTGCTTCTTCCAGATCCCCCCAAACATCCGTAGCTCACCTTGGTGCCTCTTCATCGCCCAGAGGAGCAGGGACAGCTTGCCCTCCTCCGAGTCCAGGTCCTGCGGTGGCATTGACTGGTCTTTTCGGGGCCAGTGGCACCCTTGGGGGGCCGGTGTCGCCAGATCGGGCATCTCGTCCAGCAGCGCCTCCTGGTTCCATGGGTTCTGCGCCTCTCTGAGCCTCCGGATGTAGGGGACATACTTCTCCTTGATGTCTCCCACGTTGGGGATGTCCTCGGGGTCATCCAGCTCCAGGGGGCAGAACAGCCCCCTCTCCAGAGCCTGCCTGAGATCATCTGGCCACGCCGACACTTCCAAGCGCTTGAGGGTGGTTAAGCATCCATGCCTGGTTGGTGTCCTGGGTGCGCTTGTTCGCCTCCTGCGCCTCCTGGATGGAGCCCATCGCCTCAGCCAGTGCCTGGCTGGCGTCAATGCCCTTCCCCTCCAGGTACTGGTCTCGCAGCTTGGCCTTGAATCGCTCCAGGTTGACCTTCCTGAGGGCCCGGGCTCCCTCATTGGCATGCCCTCCTGGAGGGGCACCAGGATAGCCATCTCATTGTCCAGCATCTCATCCGTGACCAACTCCTTGTGCCGCCGCCTGGCCGAGGACTCCTCCGGGGTCGGTTCCCGGTGCTCCCTCAAGGCCTTGTGCAGCTCCTCCTTCTTCCGGATCGCCTGGTCCACCTGGGGGTGGTAGAGCTGGAAGCTCTGAGCCTCCGCCTCCTTCAGGGACCGCTGCACTTTGACCTTGACCTCCTGGCGCTCCCGGACCCTCAACGCCTCGTCGTCCGCCTCCATGGACAGGATCTCCTGCCGGATGTCCACCCGCCTGTTAAGCGGGACCACGTCTGCCATGGTGATCTCCTCTGCCGTGTCCGTTTTCGGAGGAGGTTGCGGTCTGCCTGTGCCCGGGTACCACCGGGGCCAGCGGCACCCAGGCTTCCCCCTTCCCGCTGCTGGATCCAGGTCGGCTTGCCCTCCACAATGAGCAGGTTGTAAGTGACGCCGTCCGCCAGGTAGCCGAGGGTGCCTGGAAGGGGACAAACTCCTTGCCCGGGCAACCCCGTGCCGCATGCCTTGCACATGAATTTGTAGTCTGAGTGGCCGGCATCGAGTCTGTGCATCCGCTGGGTGCCAATGCACGCCTTGTTCCTCTGGAACTGTGAGGCCCAGACCTCCTCCTGCCGGATCTGGATCTTCATCGGAACATAGGCCTCCAGGATGCGAATCACCAAGTCCTCCGTGAGATTCTTCCCGACGAACTTGTGGAACAGGGAGACCGCCTCCTCCACCGTGACGTCCCTCAGCAACGTGGCCGCCGATGCCGGAAGGACCGGGAAGAGGTCTGGGAGGTCCACTAACTTGAAGTAGCCGGGACGGCCCTCCACCGGCACAAGGGAGACCGGTTTGTTCACCGGAGCCGTGGTCTTCTGGGAAGCCGCCACGAAAGCCTCTTTGTTGGTGGAGTAGCCCGCTCCGTGGCGTCCGCATCGTCCATGTCCTTGTCCTCCTCCTCGGCGGGGCCAGGGGCACCCAAGCCGGAAGTCGGTGTGGAGAAAGCCACACGGAGACGCTCCAGTGCACTGGAGAGGTCGTTCATCACGTCGGTAGCCGAAGCCGACGGGGGGGCCTCGGGCTCGTCCAACACCAGGCCGGCCGCCACTGCCGCCTCGCGTGTGCGGATTTCCTGGGCCTCCTGGCTGGCCATTTCCACCTCCTCCGCGGTGAGCGTCTGGTCCTCAATCAGCTCGAAGGAAGTTGCCGAGGTTGCCGAGGAGGCCATTGCTGGTTCGGGGTTAGTTCGGAAGTGTTCAACCTCAATTTTTTCACACAAGTTGGGTTCAAAGAACCCAGGGCAAAGCTTGAGCCAAAATGGCATGCGCCATTGTGGTCAAGCATTGCCAACACAGTTCATGTTTCCACATGCGTTTCAACATTAACAAAATGTTGGTCCCCAACAGGGCTGTGGGAAATGACTACTTCTGTGATACAACAAAAAGGGCTTCCCAAAGACTACCCCCATATAAAGGGGGAGATTCCGTATCACGGAAGTGGTTGGATAAACCCCAAGCGATCCCGCAACCCTGGTCCCCGGCAACGGTGGTTTCCCATCTAAAAACCAAGAAGGGGGTCCTCAGAGGGTAGGACTACCCGGGACTTGGAACCCCTTCCCCCTGTCCGATTTTGGGCACGTGATGGTGCCCAAATATCACAGGTCCAAAAAAGGAACCAGGCTTTCTGTGACTCTTCTCCTGGCGAACCTTGAAATACAAGGTGAGCATTTGGGCTGCCTTGACTAGCCGGCCAAGCAGGAAATTCAGAAGGTTGGCTGGTCGGCCTTGGACCGCTGAGACGCGCAAGCTGGGCGAAAGGCGGCGGCCGCCCCCTTCCCAAGCTCGAGTTTCACGGAAACCACTGAGACTCCAGGTGGGCTGAAAAGGCCCCCTTACATAACGAAAAGGCGCGGGGTTGTTTTTTCAGCCCAGGTGCAGTTGTTGGCTTGAGCTGAACAACGAGACTTGGCAAGGTGACCATTTCGGCGAGTCGAAGCGGGGAATCCCTTCAAGGGGTGTCAGCGCCAACCCAGTGCTTGGCGACGGGAACCCAGGATTGGGATGATCGAGTTGATTCAAAGGGGCGGGTGTCCATTTCAGCGGAGGCCTTCGCTTTTTGGTGGAAATTGGAGTGAAATCGGGGGGGGGGGGGAACATAACCCCCCCCCCAATCCGCCATGTTCATTATTAATCGGGGTCGACATCACACATCTGCAATGTTTGCTTCCAAAACCTGACATAGAATTGAATCTATTTTTCAAGCACCGGCTCGCCCTTTGCTCCCTCGAATTCCGTCCCAAAACCCTTCGACTTCCGGGGCTTCCGGCGCTGATCTTCCCGTTGGGCGTCATCCTGGCGAAGATCCGGATGCAGGTGAGCAGCTCCCACAGCAAGGAGGTGCTGCCTGGCGTCCAGACGAATTTCGCGAGAGCCACCGGCTTATTCGAAGCCGTGGGGAAGCTCCTTGTTTTTCGAATATGTGTCACCAAAAGGCTTTTGGACCCCACAAGGCGGGTTTCCTTTTGGAGGCCACCTCAAGCTCTGGTGATATCCCCAACAGCATGCGGTGCTCTTTTTAGTGATCGCACCACCCCGCAGCCCTCGCAAAGCCTCGTGGAACCCTGGTAGAACCCTTGTGGAACCCTGGTGGAACTCTGATAGAACCTGGGTGGAACCCTCGTGGAACCTTACCTCAGGACCGCCTATCTGGGCTGAGACCCCAAAGCTTTCAGCTGTTGGGGAAAGAAACAAAACACCCAAATATGGTTTGACCACTCCGCAAGATGGCAAGGACACCACCGGCCCTCCGCTCAACAGCTAGCTCACTTTGCTGCCAGCTCGAATCAGATAGCACCGTGATCAGAACCAGGCCCAAATGACACCAGATGCACTCTGTTCATGGGTGCCTGGGAGAATTATTGCGGCCGGACTTCGGAAAACAATCAAACAAGTTATTTGCTTGAACAAAAGTTTGGGGGGGAAAACAAAAACACACACACACCACACACACACACAGACTTGCTGAAGCACACAAACACAACAAACATAACAACGAAATCCAAACAAAAAAAAACACTGCAGGTTTATTTTTGTTCTGTTGTTAATTTCCTTATATATATACACATACACACACATATATATATATATATTTCGAGGGTACCAGGCAGACACCCCTCCGCGCCAGTGGGATCCCCCTTTGCCGCCAGGCGCCTTTGCCGCTGCCCAGCGCCTTCCCCTTCTTCAGGCTGCTGAGCCGCGAGCCCAGCAGCACCCGGCGAAGGTCCGGGGAGCACTGCCTCGCGGGGCGGTTTCGGCTTCTTTTTTTTGACTTGTTGGTTTCCGTGGGCCAACCAAAACGGACAAAACATGTTTGTTTGTTTGTTTGTTTGTTTGTTTGTTTGTATTTCAGCGTTTTTGTTGGTTTTATCTTGTTTTGCGGTGTCCATGGGCCAACAAAGAAGGGGAAACAACGTGTTTTTTTCTATCTGAGACAGATTTGTCCGCTTGGAATTTTAGGTCCACATCTGGGGCCACGTCAAGAAAGCTCGCCTTTGGTGGACGTCAAGTGGATTTGTATTTTGAGAGAAAGCCACGTGTGAAACTAACCACCCAAACCTTGGGATGGTTTTAAGGGGACACCGAAGGAAGAACAACACCAGTTGGGGGTTCAGAGCCATGTGGAGCAAGACATAGGGGTCTTGGGAGTTTGAGTTCTGGTCTACACCTCACTGTTCCAGAGGTCCGACTCTATTTCCCTTGGAATTTTAGACATCTGGGACCATGTGAAGTCAGCTCACCTTTGGTGGGGTGGTGTTTAAGTAAGAATGGGGGTTGATCAAAAGGTCCGACATGCATGAGGTGACCATTGATTGGACAACCAATAAATACATAATATTTCCCACACGGGCAAAGTTGCCCATGGTCAGTATTATGGGGCCAGGAATATTGATCAACCCCCGTGGGTCAAACTAGCCCAACGGAAAAGCTGAATGATTTGCGAAGTGACCTTATTTGTGCTAGTGAATCTTCATTCGGAGCCTTCTGGCGGACGTCAGCTAGGCTGAAATTTGACACCCACCAACCAGTAGACCCACTTGGAGCAGTCTCAATGGGGGGAGCCAGCAAACACGCCCCTGCATGTCCCATTTCGGCGGAGTCCTTTCCAAATCCAAACACCGGGGGGAACCCAACTAGCAACCATTCCAAGGGCTCCAGGTCATTGTTCAGTGGGGGGATATGGCGCCTTTAGTGACGGCGCGGTCTTCTTCTTTTAGGGTACCTTTTTGGAGTGGCCTTCAAGATGGAGACCTCCAGAATCTGTGTCTGTGGGTGCTTCCTTTCTCAACATTCAACCCTAAACCTAGGAATTACCAAAATCTGCTCTTGCCATCATGAATTTAGTCAAGGGCAAGAATGTCAGATGGCCCCAAAACGTTAACCCAGACTGTCTTCTTTGCTGCAGTGTACTGTTGTTGGAGTGGCGTTAGGAGCTTTGCTGGGGTGTTTTTGTGCACGTTTATTTTTCTTTGGGGGGAGATACCTATTTTGGAGTGGGGTTAAAGATGGCGCCCTTCCAGGATGGCATCTGTGTGAGTGTGTTGTTTTGTTTGGGGGGAACCCTTTCTGGTTGGTGTTACCGGGAAACCCACAGAAAAAAAGGCTGGCAGTTCTGGGGTTGCCCCATTTCTCACTTCCTGAGTGGATTGGCCAAAAGAGACCTCGCACTTTGTATTTGCCACACAAATTGTCCAAACCCAAAAAGTGACTAAAGTCAACATGCATTCACTAGTCAGAATTTGGGGTTGTTTCGCCGAAACCCCAAAAAACGGGACATGTTTTTGAGGGAACCCCTTCCAACAAAACCTAAGAAAACCAACATTTATGGGGTTGCCCCATATTGAGACAAGCCAATGGCACTGCATCCGCGGCACTGGGCAGCCAGCCACTCAAAGGCACGCTGAGTAACCGCCAGCTCGCACCACTCGTAGAGCCGCGAGAGCACGATCTCCTGGCCGGCTGCGGCTCGGTGGCCTTTTGGGTGGGTGCTGGTTTCCTACCCTTTAAACAGTCAAGGACAATTGCTGGTTTCTGCCGTTCTTGGATCTTCAACCCTTTTGTCTCGGTTTTTAACTTGGCCGGCCAGCCAATGAATGGAGTCTCGGGCCAACGGTATGAGCATGGTTGTGAGAGAACTAACCCCAGTTTTCCCACTTATGACCGTGGCCCTAGAATGCGCTCTTGGATCTTCAACCCACGTAGTATGTAGGTGACTGAGTTACTATGGTCATGACTGGTATAATTTTGCCTCAGTTGCGGTTGCGGAAAAACACACCTTCCGGCGATACGAAAGTGGACCATCTCTGTGACTACTGTTTTCTAAGGTGTTCGCTTCGTACAGCAAGTGGCCCCAACGCCCCGTTTTACTATGGCCAGGGTTGGGGCCATGATCCTAGTCTCCTAAGTAGTGGGCCATAAAAGGAAACCAACAGGTCTGGGCGCAGTAGTACAAATCTCCTACAAACCACTTTTTCGGCGAGTTCGTAACTCTCCTCCAAATGGAAATCCGGTCCAGGGTTGTCTTTCTAGAATGACCTTTGGCTTTCCTTCCAACTCAATTTAAAAAGCTTAGCCTCAAACGAGCTCCCCCCCAAACGGGTGAACCAAACGAGTTGAACTCCGCGCTGGCGGTCCTCAGTGGAGAAGACGTAGTCTTGATCCGTCACCTCCTCCTGTGGTCCTCCGACAAGAGCTGGGTGAAGAACGTGGGAGATACAGTCAAACCAACAACACCGCGGCACCGCGGATGGAAAAAATCCATGCCGATGGGCACCAGTTGGGAGGGGATGAAGCCTTGTAAGTACTGGGATAAACCACCTTTCTTTATTTCTTCCTTCCTTCCTTCCTTCCTTCCTTCGTTTCCTTTCTTTGTTTCCTTCCTTTGTTTCCTTCCTTCTTTCTTTCTGGCTTCCGGGTCGATCCTGTGCCTGGGGAGAAACCACCTGCCACCTGGCGCAAAGTGGATTTTCTCCAGCCACGGCGGTGGACACCCACCCGGCCTTGAGCTTCCAATTCCGCCTTGTGCGACCAAGTCATCCGCCTGACACGGACAGAGTTGCTCTGTGTACGGCATCATTCCCCGCGCCAACAGATCCTCAGAAGACAACCTACTGGAAAGCCCTACCCAGCTTGGTGAAGGCTCGTATCAACAAGGCTGCAATCTAAGACCTCGTCTGCAAAGAAACTCTGAACAATTTGGGCAAGCTAAGGACAAACAAAGCGACCCAGGAAGGAAACAAGTTTTCATAGGTCTTCATCATTATCCATCCTTGCGATTGCCGCCAGTTTATCTGCACACGCATCTCGCTGCCCATTGGATATGGATTGCTGATATGTGCCGCGGTCAGCATTGGCTACTCAATGAGTACGGACATGGGTAACTACACAGGTCCCGGGTGTGTGTTGCAAACTGTGAAGCTGGCTTTGGAATTCGTTGCAATTGCAACAATGCGACTTATTTGCTGGGAATGTTGACCACACCTCTGATTATAGGGGCTCTCAAATTTAGTAGCCCCTCTAAATTGTTTGACGTCCTTTTGGTCCTTTTGCTTCCCGTCAAGTATCATCCAAAAAGAATTCTGCACTCCATTTGACGAACTCGCAGATTGATGCTTAGATTCTCCAGCGAACATTTGAGCTGGGCCATGGGAACCCTCTGCGGGAAGGCATGTCCAACTAGTTCCGGAGTTCCTTAGGTTCCCACAGGTAAAGAGGCCAGGGCTTCGCATATTTCCCCATTAAACGTTGCACACCAAGAAGACGTCTCTATGTCAATTGAAACTGGCAACCTGGACAGTGATGTTTAAACCTCCAGGCCGGAACACATACGAACTTAAAAACTGATTTCCCCCCCATCCCCCCCCCAAAAAAAAAGAAGGAAAGCAAATGCTTCCCTGGACCACGTTTTGCCACACAGGCTGCTAGGCCTTAGCCCGGACTCGCCTGGACAGCTCCAACTCCTGGGCTTCCTGGGCCCTGTTCGTGGCCGCCTGTGCGCGCGGAAAGTCCGGTGCTTCCCGTCGACTTTACCCAAAGGGATCCATACCGGCACCAAGCGCCATGGCCATCTTTGACTTGAACGAAAACGGATGATTCAGGAAAATTCAGGAAAAAAAACACGGCGCCACACAAAAAAGGGAAGCAAGTCAAGTCGGCAATGAGGAGGATTTCGGCGCCGGCAGCGGAATATTAGGCGCTGCTATGTTTTGTGCAGAGGAGGGTTCTTTCGGTGGACGTCCCTGCCTTGAATCAGCATTTCTTTCGAGCTCGCCATCAAAACAACAGTTGAATGGATGGCTGCAAAACTAGGGTGACCCAACAATGGCAACATTCCTTCAGACTTCCCTCTAATCCATCCTTTAACACAAGTACTGCAACAAATGTTCAACAGACACACAAACACAGCCACACAAATCCACAAACCCACAAACCCACACACACACACAAACCCACAAACACACAAACACAAAAACACAAAAACACACGAACACGCACACAGGGACACAAACACTGAAACACAAACACTGCGCCAAACGCTCCACGGCCAACCCCAACGTCGCCTTCACGGTGGCCTCGCCCCTGGCGCCTGAGGCGCCGCCTCAGCGAGCGCGCCCCGTGGTTCCTCCCTCCCTTCGTCCAAGCGGTCCCCAGCGTTGCTCCGAAGGGAGCTGCAAGATCACGCCCAAAAGGAAATGCAAGTTTCAGCACTTGGAAGCTCGTGCTCATGGAATGGTAGGAAATCGTAGCTGACTTTTGTATGGTGCAAGGTGGGAGCAAGCGTGGAAAGCCAACAAGGAATCGCAACGTATGCCCTACTTGTTGCCAAGAAGGGGTGTGCCTGAGACTTGTGGCTGTTGAATACTGTTCCCCAATGGAAGTGCAAGATTCACACGCTGTTGTTGAGCTGGGACGCGCTTGAAACACGTGCGTTCTAGTTGGGTTGCTCCATGTTGCACATCGTGACTTTGGGTGAAGTGGAACGAGACAGGACTGAACGATTCTTCTCTGAAAGCCATCCCTGATTCAATGGAGCCCCATATAGAAGCAGCCTCACGAACGCAAAAGCGAATACCGCGACGCAAATAAAAATAACAGGAACAAGAGAAAAAGAACAGCAATAAGAACACCGAAAACAACCACAACATCATCAACAACAACAGCAGTGGCGGTGGCAGCGGCCACGGCAAGAGCAACAGGAGCAGCACAGGCAGCAAACACAACGCCAGGTCACAAAAGCTACAATGTGCAACGAGTGAATCGTGCAATGCAGCCAACAAACGTTAATACGTGCCAACTCAAACGAACATTCAACAAACTCCTGACATTTGGAGGCCACTTGACAGCGGCTCGGGGCTCGGGGGGGCTTTTCCCCTCTCCTCATGGGGATTGGGGGTCACCAATTCAATTGTCAATTCATTAAATGGAACCAAGTCCCCACAAAATGGGAACTGGAACTATGCATACCACTACAACCCAGGCCCCCTTCCCTCCAACAATGCCAGTGCTCCATGGCCCGCCTCCGCGCCATTGCTTGTAGTTCTTCCGCCAGTTCAGCCACTCGTTGCCCAAAAGGATCTCGTTGAGACCCTTGAGGTCATCCCCGGTGCATCTGGCGAGCCCAGCCGTCCGCTGGGCCGCTCGGTTGGTGACCCTCTGCATAAAAAAGAGAACGTGGGGCGTGGGGCTGTTGCCAAATAGGGGGGATCTTTTTTGGATGGCTAATTGCTTGGTTGACGTTGGAAGGGAGCAAAAAAACAATCTTAGCAGTTAAGTGGGGGTTTCCCGCTAAACCACAATGAGCAAACATGTAAAATGGTTCCCAACAACAACCATGATTGAACAAAAGGCACTAACCTCTAGGAATGGTCATTTTGGAGAAACACCCACCGTATTGGCTGGTGAGTGAGACAGTTCGCTGAAACGGTCGGGTCGAACCACGTGATACCAGCCCCACACAACCAACAAACCAGCTAACCAAACAAATACACACGCACACAAACAAACAAACACATAATTACGACCACACACCAGCACACACACACACACTGACTGAACAACCCTCCCAACTGATTGGTCGATTAGCGCAACGCATCGTAGTCACCTGCACTACTCCAACGCCAACTCTGAATCCAATACGGTCCGCATACAAAACAGCATTCTGTTTCAACTGCACTGCTCGAACAGTCACTCTGAACGACACATTTTCTTCTGAACATGACTGGAATTTGGTTTGGAAGCCGCCCAACAATCCCATTTTTCAGGCCTCGGCACAACAACTTGGATATGGAAGAATTCCACCAGCGGCTTTTGCGGTGAATTGGGGGCGGGGGGAGGACCTGTCTTTTTCAACCCAACAGCCAGCTTTTGGTCTCTCTACCTTCTTGCCTTTGGCGTGCAAGAGAAATAATTGGGTCGGGTCGAACAAAAACACAACTTCCCTGGTGCGATCGAAATCCCCAGCCTCCAGCAGACAATGCTCTTGCCTTGACCAGACTTAGACTGCCCGCAAAAAGTGAGAACTTTTTGCAGGTCACGCAAAAGGACAAAAAGGCAAAGTGTCAAAAATAATGGGCAACAAGTCGAAAACAAAAAACACAAGAAGTCCAAACAAAAACAAAAAGCAAAAAATCAAAACAAAAGGTAGGCCTTTGGTCTGGCCATGTTGCCTTGGGAATCTGTCTCCAGATCCCCGAGCAAGACGGGCAGACCAGGCACCGCCAGCTCAATCTCCTGAGAGATCAGGAGACATCCGCTGAGGCGACCCAAAAGATTGGCGCACAAGGAAAGAATATGCTCAACAAAATACCCTCCCTCCAACTAACATGGCACCTGTGGGGAGGCACCTGGAAGATGGATTTCCTTTTGAAGGGCCCCCCTGTCAGTTGCCATGTTAGTGGGGGAAAGGATAGGTGTTCCTTAGGTAGGTAGGTGCAAGGTCGGTTTAAAATCAACACCCATTTTCGGGGATCCCCCCCCAATTTGACACGCACACCATTGAGTTCCAGACTTGTCATTTCACGCTTTCTGTGATACCAATATTTGGGTCATTCCAATGACAACTTTGTAGCACACCTTGGTATCAAGTAGCAACTGAAACCAAGGTTTCTTCACAACATGACGAGGTCCCAGTTGTTTGAAATCAGTTGCTTCTTGATACTTGGTTTCTTCATCAAACCTTGAGACAACAAGAGCGCTCCTTCTCACGAGCGCAGTTCTGGGCTTTCCGGGCTTCCTGTAAGACCGTCTAGATCCGCGGCCCTGGCTTTGACAGACCTATGGAGACCGCTTTCAGGTGGAACAAATGAAGTCAGCCTCGACAACCCCCCCCCCCCCCGCTTTAGTGCCAGAGAACTCCAAACGCTGAGCAAGAGTTGACCTTTAGCATCGTCAAAAGGTCGGAAAACTGAACACGTGCCCAGAGCCCGCGGAAGCTCACTCTGCCAGTTGAGGGATCCTGACCTCTGCCGACTGCAAACTGCCGGCTCTCAATGTGCCCCGGAAACTACGGTGACACGGGAAACGTTCTGACGATGATGGTTGGCTGAATACATCATGAGCTTCCCGTTCATCAACTGGGGAACCCCTGCTCATACGCACCCAAGGAAAGCTCGGGCTTCATGATCTCCATGGTCTCAGCCGCTGGGGGGCTTGATGCCCACATCTGACTTATCGACTTCCAAGGGACAATCTAATCACCTTCCAATACATGAACCCTTGAGGACAATGATGTTTCTCTTACGGTAAATATATATCTTTTTCATTGGTGGCTTCCATAGCAACATGGTTGAAAGAATGAATATTTGCTTTACACGGGACGGGCTTGTCCCCACCCCCCCCTCAGAATCGGTGGTGTCCTTTTGGCTTTCCTTTGATCAACTCAGAAAGGCTGCTTGGGATACGCGGCTCACACCGGGTTGCTTTGTAATTACGCAAGAAACAACGCCCCGTGGCTGGAGTTTTTTCAGCGGGCGCAAAGACTTTGTGAGCACCGGTCACTCGCATCATTCAGCTGCCAAAGGCTACCAGCACTGGGCTTTGCGCGCGCCGCAGCAGCCGAAGCAAGTTTTGGCTCGCGAGCTCAAAGGGTTCTGGGGCGGAGAAAGCATGAGGAGTTGTGTGGGGCCTCACTTAAACAATCATCTGCCCCACGAACGAGGAATCGACTGCCTGCATTGGTCAGATAAGCAAGTCAGAGAGCAACGCCACGACGAAGTCTGGGCCTCTTGGGCTGTGTAGCATACGTGCCTTGTTGGGCCGCGACATCTGAACTTGCTGCTTTATCTTGCAAGGGTGGGGTGCGCAAGCACAGGCGACTGCGTGTCACAAACGTCAACATGCTCTCTTGATGCATCCCTTTGAAGCCGCCGCGTCGCCAGGATGCTCCAAAAATCGAAGCTTTCCTGTTTGTCGTCAATTGTCCGCTGCTCAGTTTGTGAATGGTTTCGCCAACTAAAGTCCAGGCTTTCTGTTTGCCGCCGAAACTGTCTACCCAAAAAGCATAACACAACATCCAAATAGTTTGGCCAACACAAGTCCAGACTTTTTCTTAGCCGCCAAAACGGCCTCCAAGTATAAAGTGCAGGACCTCTACCAGCTCGGCCTTGTCCCCCGCTACGCTGCGACGCAGCCAAGGGAAGCTCGGCAGGGCGGCGTCCGCCTGTATGCAGGGCGAGGCTCGCCTACATGCACGAGGAAGACGCCCTGCCGAGCGACGGGCCCAAGCTTCCCTTCGCTGCGTCGCAGCACCGCCGTCACGACCTCCCCAAGCACCATCTTTCACGAAAAGATGCCGAGTCAAAGGAGAAAAACCAAGGCAAGATGCGGGACACATTCTGAACATTTTGTCTGGAAGCTGTTTTCCTGCGCGTCTCATTACCTATAGTTGCATGTCCTTGACCGCATGGTGTAGAATGTGTAACGTCATTCGAAAGCTTGAGCCAGCTGCCGGACATCATCCATGCCAAGCAAAGACAACGGGATCAAGCGAAGCAGGTCTCTCATCACTGGAGAAAGATCAGGACCCTGTCAGTTTATCCTCCAGAAAGATAGTGCCACCACAAGCATCAATATGTCTTAGCATGCCGGCCGGTGTTGACATCAAACACCCACAGCTGAAGCTTGAAGCATCCGCCGAGTTGCGACCAACCTGGGCCTGTTTTGAGAGTGTGGCTCTCTTTGGTTGTTTTGAAGGGGAGCCAAAGGAAAGTCACCCATTGTGAAGAGTTCCCATTTTGTGCGTCGGGCCCTATTCTTGTGCAACAGCCCGCTCTTCCGAATCCAAGGAATGCAAAGTATCTGCAAGTCACATTCTTGCAGGCGACAGACCGCGACTGGAAACTGCCGACTGTAAACTGTTGACCCTCACACCGCTCTGAAGATGATGGTCGGCTGAATACACCATGAGCTTGTCTTTCACTGGGGGCACCGATGAGCAGGGAACCCCTGCTCATACACACCCAAAGAAAGCCCAGGTGGGATGATCTTTGCCATGAACAATCCGAGAATCCGAGGCGGGGATCCCTCATGCTCGCATCAAGCCCGCGGCATGTCCTGCAACCTTGCATCAAGACACTGACATGCCTGGGCCCTGATCATGGAGGTGACTTGGTGTAACAAAATACGCCACAGTTCGGGCCTTTTTGGACCCGAACAATGGGAACTTAGACTACCACTGTAAGGGTCCCGTGTGAATCACCCAGCGTTTCTCCTCAAAGAATGCCAAGCCTGGGTGGTTCTTTGGCACAAACAAAGCCAAACATGATTCCATTGAATTCATGTATATACGAGTGTGTCTTATTGTTGAGGGAACCCTTTTTTTGGTTGATTCCACAGGGAACCAAATGGACACCAACCGTTTTTTTTTGTTCTCGGGTCCCCTATCTGAAGACAGACCCATACTCCCTGTGACACTCCTTGGCAATGGAGATAGCAGTGCCAGCAGCGTCCCCGGTGATCATGACCTGAGCAAGTCCGGGAGTCGTGTTGGGTCGTTTTTTCAGGGTACCCATGCTACCCCGTTGTGGAGTGGTTGAAGGGAAGCCAAAGAAACCATCCATTTTTCGGGGGAGGGGGGGGTCTCTATTACACGCCCATTCAATGAATCAATCGATGGCGGAGCAAGTACTTGCCAGCAAGTTCGGTGGCTTTCCAGTTGCCGACGAAGGGGTTTGAGCAGCGTTTGCCAAGTAACCGTTTCCTTCTTGGGAGAACATCTTGGGAGAACACCTCAGTCAAAGGGCTTCATCACTTTTCCACGGTCCTTTTTCCCACGGCGTCAAACTCGTGACGGGTCGTTTAGACCTTGGCCGAGGCGCACTTCTCACGTCGCCCTGGCGCAGGGACGCGATGGTGTCCTTGGTGTCGCTGCGCGGGGGATTCTTGAAGAGCAGCAGCCCTGGCCAGGGGCAATGGGAGATTTTGCTGTGAAGGTCACACCCCTTGGGTCGGTCAAAATATTTAGCGAACCAAATCCCAATTTCTGACGTTGACAAGAACGCGCAGGCATGGTCTCAAAAGCGCGTCTCACGGAGGCAGGGTGCTTTTCGTTGCTCCAGGGCTCGATGATTGGGCTCAAAACATAGCCTCTACCGCAGGTGCTTGGTGTTGCTTTGATTTCTGGACATATTTCTGCACCCTCGGCCCTGGCAGAGTCATAAAAAAAACCTGCTGTGGATGCACGAAATCCCTGCATCACCTAAGAAACCATGGGAAACCATTGTTTGTTGGGATTTACAGGGAGATCATACCATTCCAGGGTTTCTTGAACGGTGCAGAATTTCGCTCTATCCACTTTTGGCCCCCCTTTTCAGTATCGTTCGGAACCGGCCATAGCTTACAACTTCCCCCCCCCCCCCCCCCCCCCCCCCCCCCTCCCTCCCTCCCTCCCTCCCTCCCTCCCTCCCTCCCTCCCTCCCTCCCTCCGCCCATTTCCACCCTCCCCCCCCGCCGGTTGTCTAGCTCCGCGACATCCCCTGACTTCCCGGGCCTAGCAGCGACAGGCCCTTCTCCGCCTCCGCGCGCGTCTCCACCTTCTCCTCCGCCTTCAGAGGCCGTGCCGCCAGAGCCAGCACGTACCTGGGAGCCCAAGTCCGGCCCACTCTGGCGAACTCGAAAAGTGGAAACAACGAGCCGTCCAAATTCCTGGAAGGACACGTCCAAAATGTTGATCCTCTAAATAAGCTGGTAAAGGTGACTTTGTTCACTGGCGTTGTCTCGGCTGCCAGAACATACCTTGGATTCAGCGAATGACTTGGATGTTGCTTGCCCACATATCAAACGACATCCACATATAATTTCAAAGTATAGTGGGTAACCAGGGCGCTCTCGGGAAAGTTAGAATTGTTGGTATAGCTGGTTGGTTTTTGGGTGAGGCCCCTTGTATTTGTGGTTCTCACCTACCTAGTGGATTAAACATCCAAGTATGAGAAGTCAAAGCCTGAAAGAAAGGACATAGCTGCCTTGCAAATCAACATGCAGGCAGTTATTTCTCTCATGTTGAAGATTCCGTTCCTAAATTAATTTCCTGAAATGGGGAATATGGACGACCCATCTGGTTAGACGGCTTCTAACACAATACCAGCCAAATCTCCCCGCTACCTACCCCCACACCACGCAAATCCACAGAAGAAATCTGACATGTGAGAGCTCTTTCCCCTTTCCCAAAATGAGGACATGTTTGTCGTTCCATGTCAATTGGCAAGGGCGTAGTAGACATCCCCAAGCTAATCTTAAGTAAATCCAAATAATTGAGACCTCCCAATTTCCAATAGTAGGCATCCCTCATCATGGAAATCTGATCAACCCGGGAAAACAAGACACACACACACACCCACACCCACACACACACCCACCCACGCACCCACACCCACCCACGCACCCACGCATTTCCCCCCCGCAAACATTCAACTAATAGGGGACCTGCTGGCAAGCCACCAACTTCCTGAGTACATAGCAATCCCGATGTTTCCTATAGGATCCAAGTTTTCGTTCACAAGGGTCCTTAAAGATGCGATACATCCACATCTCCATGGTACAAGGTCCTCGAAATCTCCTGGGCAAAACAAAGTTCTTTTCCACTGGCCCTTGAGAAACTCCAGGGCGCATGCCCGAGTAGGCGTGCGCCGCCGCCACCTGTGCGAAGGCTACTCCGCTCGAGTCGACAGGGTGGCAAATTGTGGCTCAACAACCGGACCCTAGCATTTGTTCAAAAGGGCTTGGTTACTGTTGGCCCCCCCCGCAAAAAGTGTTTAACTATTTGGGGGTTTGGTGGAAAACCCCTTGATTTCCCCAAAACATAAGGTCTAAAGATCCAACCCAATAGCAGTCAAGAAGGGGGCCAAAGGGAGGATAGTACAACAAGAGAGGTTGGGTTGTTCAACATGGGCAGGGATCCCGAACCCTAAAACAACAACTTAAAACAACTAATGGCGAATCCGCAGTAGAAGACCACTACAAGGGAAGCCGCCATCCAGAATAAGGAATAAGGCTTGATTTTAAGAAACCCAGGCAACTCATTCTTGCAGCCTTAAGGTCCCTCGCGTCACTTGCCCCAAACCCGGAGGGGTCACTTCCCGGTCTGGCGTCTTGGACATTCTACCAGCCTTTCATTTCCCCAGGCCCCCAGGATTGGCTCATGGCAACCAACAAAACACAACTGAGGGACCCGAGGCCTGGGGAGGCTTTCTTGGGGGGCCTCTTGTGTTCACACCGATGGAACCCACACCCTTCACTTGTCTATGGACTTGAACGGGTACACCCGAAACATATTTCTGCTTGAAACCATTTCACTTTGGGCTTTGAATCTGTCTCCCCTGAAATGGCCTCAACCTGGTACGGCAGAGTTGTCGCCGTCCAGCACATGGAACCCCGAACCAAGGGTTCCCTCAAAACACACACTCTTTGAATCCAAGGGTTCCTTACTTCCCGAACAGTGGATGTCCACGGGAAAAGGGCATGTTGTTTTGATTGTATCGGGTTGCACCCCTTCAACAAACAAGGTTGAACAAAGGAAGCAACCCGCTGGGCCGCTGGGTGTCTGGGCGTTTTCAAACCCGATCCGCTCCAAATCGCCCCAACGCCCTAACGGCTGCGATCGAACCTGGGGGAAGTTCTCTGGCACGGACTCGGGGCGGCAGAGCCGCAAGACGTGCTCGAAGCTGCCCTTGACGTAGACTCCTTCGAACGCTATCAATCTACCTCCCCTCGCCCTCGCCCGGTGGATTGGATTCGGATTTGGATCAGCCAATGTGACACCATCGGAACAGCTCCGAACCACTGTGAAGCTGCCGTCACGACACAAGCCGCAGGCCCCTGTGGTAATGGCGCCTCGTTTCCCTTGGCTACCAACTATATTAGGCATAGGGTAACACAAACTAACAGATATTAGGGAACAATCATGCCCAATGGATACTAGGTTGCTCTTGGATACCAGTGGGTCCATCCAAGTCACATGCCTGGACATCGTCTTTAGACAACTTGGGGCAATTTGGTGTCTTGGGCGTGGTGTCCAGCACAATTGGGAAGTCTCCTCAACTAGAGTCACATGGAAATACAGATGGGTTTGTATCCAAACGTATTTTGGATACCCAAAATAGGTGGTTCCTCGTGGCTGCCCTATTTCATGAAACTAAAGGGACCGGTTGCTTGGGCGCAAATTGTCTAAGGCCTCGTTGTTTTGGAGGACACCCTTTTCAGGTTGGTTTGAAGGGCACCGAACCGAGAATCCACCCATTTGATGGGGTCCCGTTACTTTGACACCTACCCAAACGATGCCAAACCTGTCCAACCGACCTGCCGAAGTCGGCCTAAAAGCCCCTGCCTCGCTCTTTGGACGGCTTGTGCTGCACGATGGCACTCATAGTCATAGTGCTGTGGGAGAAGTCAAAGCGCTTCCTGCGCGAAGTTCGAAAACGCTTGGGCCGAACTATTATATTCATATGTATATATGTTAACCCCCTCAAGATTCGCACTTACTGTGTGTGTAAATATACATATATATATATATAATTTAATTATGTGTGTACTCTTTTTTTGAGGACACCCACGCTTTCAGAGGGGGTTCGTCCCCCTTATCTAGAACTATGGCTATAACCGCAATACCCGACCCCAAACAGTGGCTTGAGCATCGCCCGTCAGAAAGATAAAAACGGATATTAAAGCCGTGCATCCGGACGGTCTCGGCGGGAAAAGTCGCACGATGTATTGTCAATCGGTCCACCAACGGCACCGATGATAAGACGTAAGCTCCGTGAAAGAACAGGTGGGCGCAATCTCGGTCACCCACCACTCACGTGTGGTAGATCGTCTGTGCTGGCAACCCGACATGATCACGGGCATTGTCCACGGAAGCTGATTGTTGTGCACTGCAACCTTGTATGAAGGCGTGGGGTCGAGCAGTCTTGAACGCAAAGGAAAACAAACGGTGATGGGGTACCCGTACTGCTTCTCTGTCGGCATGTCTGTGCATGCGTTGTCATCGCCATCCACGCGGAAAACGGTCACGTGACCGTCAAAGGGAGTGGAAGGGCGGAAGCAACATTTAATCCTTTTCACCAAAATGGCCAACGCGATACATTATGCACCACGGTCACATGAATGATCGGTGGCCCTCGACGGCTGCACGTCCGTTCGTTTGCGAGGGTTGGTGTGTTTTCCAAGACAACCAACAAAAGCGAAGTCGACGTTCCACGTTGTTATTCACACGCGTTAACCGCAACAAACACAACACACACACACACACACCTATCCGAGAGTGTGCGTGTGCGTGTCTGTGCGCGCGTCTCTTCCCTTTTGGGGTTTGGGGTTTGGGACATCCGACTCCACCGCTCGCTCTCCGAGGCGCGTGATCTCCACCTCGTGGGGCTGATTGGCGAAGGCGCCCTGCACCCGCGTCGCGGAGGACAAGGTCCACCCAGAGGCCTGGAACATGTTCCTCGGACTCGGATCGGATGTGTCGGATCCGCAAATGCCCTGTCGGAAAGAATCAAGAAAAGCACTGCCCTTGCTCGGGCCTTTGCTTGGGTTGCCCTTGCTTGGGTTGCATGGGGTTTATACCGCCCTTGCTTGGGTTGCATGGGGTTCATACCGCCCTTGCTGGGAGCAAAACAACACCACTTCACAGAGAGACCAACAAATCCTGCAAAAAGTTGTGCATTATGGGGTTAGTGGGTAGATAAAAACAGCAAAACAAGTGGAACGCATCACCCCAACATCGCGACAAAATTGCCCAAGGAGTATGCTCCGCCCCAAGTCTTTTGGCTGGATTCATTGGCTTCCCGGACTCGACCTGGCTGCTTGGGGTGTTATTCCTAAACCTCACCTGCAGAAAGGACGAAAGACTTGAGTTTCCTTTTAGTAGGGTAATATGTTTGCTGCTAAATCTTGCTTTAGGTTTTTTGGTGGACCTCATTTTAGGTCGGCGTTTACGCCCCCTGCGGCTGTTTGGTTCCCCAGCAACAACAAGGCTCGGTCCCGAGGCCTTCCTGGGGCGAAAAAACGGATCCCACCCCAAGAAGTGGAAGTTCTGTAAATTAAATGGAAAGCTCAGTCTGACTGAACCTGAAAGCTGGTGACTCCCGCAAGTCTCTCAGTCGAATGTCTTTGGAGACGTGGGATCTCCAACCCTGCCATAGCATGTCAGTTGCTCATTGGGGTCCTGATTGGGTGATCTGGACTCTGGATAAAATGAACACATACAAATTCCTCTTTCGGGTTCCTTCCTGAATACAAAGTGATGGGCTATACAGTATACTCAGCCTCCCATGTACCTGGCGCCAAGGGCCTATTCACTGGGAGACGATGGCCTCACCCGAAAGCTCAAATTTGCTGACGCAAAGTCAACTCAGTCCAAGGGACTGTGCCAAAGACAGTTCCCCTATAGGAGAAAAGCTCAAAGGGCCCAATGTCCCCTCTGTTGACAGGTCGAAAGCCAGACCCCCTGGATTGATCTTGCAACTGGATCACCAGCTCTATCGCCGCCGCCCACCCTTCAAGAATGCTGAACGGGGCGAAGTGATTGGCTCTTGTTTTCAGGGCCGCCTTCTCACCTCAGAAAGGGAGATAAACAAGGGCAAAAATATCAGGTCATGATATTGTTTGACACATACCCAGTCACCGAGGTTCCAAAACAGGGAACTTGAGTTCGGACAAACCAAAACCAGGAGAAAAAGAGACGTTGAGTTTGAATGACATTGTGTTGGACAAATCAACCATAATCAATTCAGTTTGGATATACAAAGTTGAGCTATGACATTCGGACTGAACAAGGAAAAATCCAGGGCTCCCCACATTTCCCCTTAAAACATCACCCCCAGGGATACTCACCTTCCATGGACCAAAAAGGTGATGTTGAAAACCACCGCGTTCCTTTCGAGACTACCTCCCTTGTGTGAAGGTAGCCTCAGTCCACCAAAGAGGGAAACCTTGGGAGCCCTGCAATATGTCGCCCTTTTCCCTTGGCGGCCTCCGTTTCTCGCGCAGCTGCCTGGAAGCCGAGGGGCACCTCCACGGCGTTGCCCACCACGCCTGGGGGCTGCGTTTTTTGGCGAGCGCGGTAAGGCCCGTCTTTGGTCCAAGAAACTCGGGGGAGATTGGATAGAAAAGGGGGCAGGCCCCCTATGTGTTGTGAGAAAATCAGGGGGAATTTGGGTAAATCCCCCGGTGTCCCTATGCAAATTAAATCACTCCCGGAAACATATGGTCAGATTTGTCATGTGAATCTTCATTGAAGTCAACCTCTGTCGTGTGCGCATCTGATCTTAATTGGATGAACGATATTTGTTAACCAGACCGAAAGATGGGACCCTCGCACTAAATCAAATCAACAAATAGCAAAGAATAAGGGACTCCCGAGAGGCTTTTGAGGGGGACGGCTACGGCTTACTCTTACTCATCACAAGTAGGCCTTCCTCCGGCCGCCTGATTGATGCATGCGAGTGATGCGTTTGTCAACCCCCTAACCACCAGGGGTTAATACGTTTTTCATCATTTACTGGACGACGCATGTTATTTGACTCATACAACGTGCATACATTGATACATGTACAATGGTGCGTATACATATATTTGTATATATATATGAGCATATCCGCCGACATTGCTCGGCGTGTCGGACACCTAAGAGAGGATAGAGGATAACCCCCCCCCTAACCGCCCCCCCACCCGACGTCTGATACGTGGGCCCCCCCAAGGACCGCGCGGCAATTTGGTGGCGTTCCACTAAACGTAGTCTTCGGGGACCCGGTGTCGCAAAACAGGGGTCCCAGGCTCGATTCCCCCTGCCGGCTTTTTTGCCGGCTTGGGCTTCCTGCATCCTTTTGCCGAAAATCTGGAAAAACTCTGTGTTTTTGGACATCATCTTTGCGAAAACGCTGGAAAAAACAGTGTTTTTTGCGGGAAATACTGGGGAGCAAAGGGGAAGTGCAAGGATACATACATACATACATACATACAGACATACATACAGACAGACATACAGACATACATACATACATTACATTACACAACATCACATTACATTACTTTAAATTACATCACATTACATACATACATACATACATACATTACATTACATTACATTACTTTACATTACATTACATTACATACATTACATACATTACATACATTACATTACATTACATTGCATACATGCATACATGCATTACATACATACATTCATGCAGGCATGCATACATACCACCTACCTACCTACCTACCATACATACATACATTACATTACATTACATTACATTACATTACATTACATTACATTACATACATACATGCATGCATGCATACATACATTACATACATACATACATACATACATACACTTACATACATACATACATTACATTACATTACATTACATTACATAGATACATTACATTACATACATACATTACATTACATGACATTACACACATGCATACATGCAATACATACATACATACATACATACATTACATTACATACATACATACATACATACATACATACATACATACATACATACATACATACATTACATACATACATACATACATACATACATACATACATACATACATACATACATACATACATACATTACATACATACATACATACATACATTACATACATACATTACATTACATTACATTACATTACATTACATTACATTACATTACATTACATTACATACATACATACATACATACATACATACATACATACATACATACATACATACATACATACATACATACATACATTACATACATACATACATACATACATACATACATACATACATACATACATACATACATTACATTACATACATACATACATACATACATACATACATACATACATACATACATACATACATACATACATACATACATACATTACATACATACATTACATTACATTACATTACATTACATTACATACATACATACATACATACATACATACATACATACATACATACATTACATACATACATACATACATACATACATACATACATACATACATACATACATTACATACATTACATACATACATACATACATACATACATACATACATACATACATACATTACATACATACATACATACATACATACATACATTACATACATACATACATACATACATACATACATACATACATACATACATACATACATACATACATACATACATACATACATACATACATACATACATACATACATACATACACATACATACATACATACATACATACATACATACATACATACATACATACATACATACATACATACATACATACATACATACATACATACATACATACATACATACATACATACATACATACATACATACATACATACATACATACATACATACATACATACATACATACATACATACATACATACATACATTACATACATACATACATACATACATACATACATACATACATACATACATACATACATACATTACATACATACATACATTACATACATTACATACATACATACATACATACATACATACATACATACATACATACATACATACATACATACATACATACATACATACATACATACATACATACATACATACATACATACATACATACATACATACATACATACATACATACATACATACATACATACATACATACATACATACATACATACATACATACATTACATACATACATACATACATACATACATACATACATACATACATACATACATACATACATACATACATACATACATACATACATACATACATACATACATACATACATACATACATACATACATACATACATACATACATACATACATACATACATACATACATACATACATACATACATACATACATACATACATACATACATACATACATACATACATACATACATACATACATACATACATACATACATACATACATACATACATACATACATACATACATACATACATACATACATACATACATACATACATACATACATACATACATACATACATACATACATACATACATACATACATACATACATACATACATACATACATACATACATACATACATACATACATACATACATACATACATACATACATACATACATACATACATACATACATACATACATACATACATACATACATACATACATACATACATACATACATACATACATACATACATACATACATACATACATACATACATACATACATACATACATACATACATACATACATACATACATACATACATACATACATACATACATACATACATACATACATACATACATACATACATACATACATACATACATACATACATACATACATACATACATACATTACATACATACATACATACATACATACATACATACATACATACATACATACATACATACATACATACATACATACATACATACATACATACATACATACATACATACATACATACATACATACATACATACATACATACATACATACATACATACATACATACATACATACATACATTACATACATACATACATACATTACATTACATTACATTACATTACATTACATTACATACATTACATTACATACATACATACATTACATACATACATACATACATACATACATACATACATACATACATACATACATACATACATACATACATACATACATACATACATACATACATACATACATACATACATACATACATACATACATACATACATACATACATACATACATACATACATACATACATACATACATACATACATACATACATACATACATACATACATACATACATACATACATACATACATACATACATACATACATACATACATACATACATACATACATACATACATACATACATACATACATACATACATACATACATACATACATACATACATACATACATACATACATACATACATACATACATACATACATACATACATACATACATACATACATTACATACATACACACATACATACATACATACATACATACATACATACATACATACATACATACATACATACATACATCATACCTACCTTACATACATACATACATACATACATACATACATACATACGAAAGAGGGAGATTGGGGAGAGAGTGGCTTGGGGGGATGGGGAGGATGGGGAGCGGAGGGAGGGAGAGAGGACGACAGAACACACCAGGGAGACAAGGGAGAGAGAAAGAAGGAGAAAAGGGCGAGGACAATGTCGGCGGACTGAGCCGGAGGCTCTAAAGTATATATGTAAGATTTGATGGTGAATTTTAAAGGGAACTCTCCGGAAAACCAGAAAGGCACCACTGCAAGTCTGGGCAGACCTTGCAACTTTGCACCGGCCCTTCCAGCGTTAAGGAACCGCGTGGCTCCGCTGGAGGTCTGAAGGAGGTCGTCGTCTTTGTGGGAGGGCAATTACTTTCTTTGTTGTGGTGTTGAAGGGACGCCAAAAGGAAAACCACAATTTGGGGCCCTCTCTTTTTGTGGATTATATACTGGGAATTAACAGGAGCACCAACATTTTGGGGGACCCCTCAAAAGAGACGCCCGTTTGTTGCGGTCTTGGATGAACGGTTTCCGCCTTCCCCGCCTGTCTCCGTCCCCGCGAAGGGCGAGAGCGAGTGAGCGCAGGCCAGGCCGCACAAGACCTCCAAGTCCTCGATGTCCGTGGTGACGTCTTCTTTTATGGGCCCCCCAAAAACAAACATAATGGAGGTGTCCCTTTTGGTGCTCCTTTAAAAATACGCGCAACAGAGTCCTCGACAAACACCCATATGAATATATATATATATATATGTATATGTGCTTTAAGGATACCCTTCTTCTCTTGGTTTAAAGGCCATTCAAAAGGAGACCACCATTTAGCGTTCCCTACTATGACACTTACCCATATGCCGACTGCCCAAAGCAGAACTTTCTGAAAGTCAGCTAACACATATATGAGGAAACCTTGCTACAGGTTGAATCTGTTCCCTCATCGTTTTTGGGCAAACACCTCCAGGGGTTGTGTCCAGTTTTCGAACACAAGGATCCCTACCAAAATAGTCTGATTCAATTAGGTCCACAACTTTGAGGCAATCAACACACATCAACAGACCAACAACAACCTGAGCAACGAATTCGACCCGCAAGAAGCAACACACCACCAAAACCAAACAACAGTACAAGGCAAACCAACGCAAAAAAGCGCAAACCAACCCAAACCAACAAACACCGTGCCAAGCAACAATAAACAACGACCAACAACCAGTCAAACGAAAACGGTGCGTGAACATGTCCAGTTTGCTCATTTGCTTGTCAGCCTGCGCTTTTGCAAAATGCCCTTCCCTAAAAGACGGGAAACAGCCTGAGAACATTGAAAAAACAACAAAAATGCCAACCAACCACAAAAAAAACAATCTCCAAAGTCGCTCCTTCTGGGTACGTACGTGTCAAACTCCACCCCCCCAAACAAAATGCACAGTTCCATTTGAATTTCCTTGGAGCCAATCTTGAAAAGGCTGTCCTGGAAACAAACACCTTCTTAAACTCCCAGTGGCCATGGGCAAAAACGGGGCAGCTTGTTTTTGGTAGCTTTTCAGGAAAACCACTCAAATCACTTAAACAAGTTAAACAAAAAAAGAAAACGTGCCTTGCACCGGTCGGGTTTTTGTGTCCTTTGCCACTGGAGGTCTGGGTACCAACGTTTCTGCGGCCGAGTGTCCCAGTCGCCGGGCCGGGGGGCATCCTCCAGCGACGGCGCTGTGCCGTTGCCCTGCACCCGGCCGGAGGAGAAAGGACCGCTGCCTGTCGAAGGATCCCGAGACTTGGTTTTTCCAGAAAAAAAAAACTTTTGGATTTCTGGGCTGCCCTCAGATCCCCCGCTAAAAGTTTAACTTTTAGTCGGCTAAATGGAAACTACCACTAAACGCTAAAAAACTCAAAGGCCAAGGGGATGGCTGCGAGCCACCACGAGTTATCATTGCCCTGTTTTCTCCTTTGTTTTTGGCCTTTTGGTTTTCCTTTTGGCTTTTCCATGATGGCACCCTTGTTTGTTGGTTGAAGAGGAAACACACACCACACACACACACACGAGCGCCCGTATGAGCCACGGACAATATTACTCATAGGTGGCTCAATTGGGTAGGCCCCCTATTTTTTCACAAACAACCGGATATCGGGTAGGCTCCCCGATCACAAGGCTCCTGATAACATGGTCAGTTGAGTGAATCTTAATAGGGGGCCCTTTGCGGACGGAATTGCCCTATAGAATAGATATCGTGTGCCCCAGCCATGGGGGGTCCGTATTTCTTGCTAGGGGGAAGAACTCACAAGGGATTGTGCGAAAATATGGGGAACCCAAAAAAGATGTTTTTGCCTTGGTTGCACTCAAAACACAAATCAAGGCATCCTTAAGACACGCACACAAACACGGAAAAAACATGCACACACAAAGACACCCCGTATGAACATGTTGAATTGTTATCAACATTATTGCGGGTGGTTTCCTCAGAAAAAAATGATTTGCCGACTCCTAACCCAGGGATCCTTCATGAAACCGATATGATGGCCATGAACTTCAATGGGGAGCCACCTCGAGGGGTCAGACCAACTCATCCCTTGAGACAGCCTGAGCATGAAGCTTTTCAAATGGGTTGTAGTACAAACTTTGCAATGGAAAGACTCTTTGTTTTCGTTTGGCTTCAGTCAGCACAGATTAGTGAAGGGGAAAAACAGACAGAGCCAGTGAAGAGTGTCCCTCGCCAACTTTCTTTAAGCTCGCAGTCCTGGACTATGTAATGTTGACTCCTTTCTAATCAACCCCGGTTTGTTAATACGGGCATCACTTTTGGAGGGGAACACCACCCTATTAAGGGGTTGATTAACATGGGATCAACATTCCCCATAACAAGTCCTGGTCTGGGTGAGAAATCCGACAGTTTAGTTTTGGTTTAGAAATGGCTTGTTGTAGAGGTGGTATTGGGGACCCGGCGGTTTGGGAAAACATACTTATTGATAGGCCGAATTTATGAAGCGGGGGAAGAGATGTTCCAGACTTTGAAACAAGACTGACTTAAACACATTGTGGATGGACGAAATTATGTTTGTCCAGCTTACAATGGCTTCCTATGGTTTCTGTGGTTTTGCAGGATTTCGTCCATCCAGAACTCCAAAGAAATGAACACCCTAAAAAGGATCCTTCAGGGGTGCGTGCGGTCGTTTCCCCCTAATCTCGCCACAAATCCGGCAGCCACATCGCGCAATTCTAGTTACCTTACTCTTCGTGTCTGACGATTACATCTGAGTGGAACATGCCTCATGTTTGGATAGCCCTTTTGGAATCGATCCAAGTTTGACACAGTTTGCGAACGGGTGTGCCTTGAACAGTTGAAGCACGGGTCCCTCTTGCAAAGGGTCCCAAAAATGCGAAGCGCAAGTTTTTTGCCTTGGCCCAACTCTGCACAGACAAAGCAATTTGATATGTTTCATGTTAAGTCAACCGAAAACCTGACAAGACCCCAGTTCGCGTTAAATTGAAAGGGTGTTCCATTCTGCTCCTAAAACAAACACCTGCCTAAGTATTTGGTGTCGCTTTAGCAGGCCTTTGCTGATGCAGCGCAAGCTTGGGACGAGAAAGCTGACTGGCTGTCTCCCAAGGTACATTGAGAACCCTTTTCTGCTTGGGGGTACTTCAAATGTAACCTTCAAAGGGACATCAAGCATGTTGAGGGCTCTCATGTTCCATCCGTCCGACAACACAAACCCATCCCAGCCTTTGCCCGAGCTTTGCAAGCAATGTACCCCGAAAAACTCCAGGCCTCAGAATCCATGGCTTTCCGCCATGGCCAATTGCACAAGTCTCTATGCGCTATCTATCGTCGTGGCTCCCAGAAACCCTTACAGTAGTTGGCAAAATTCTGAATGTCCTGTTAAGGGGTTTACGGCCGTCTCGCCCCTAAACGAGCAAAGCGCAAGGAAAGTAGAGGGGATGTAACATGCTGGCTGGCTTTCTCTTGCTTTCCATTTCAACCAGCCCTGAACAGGGTATCGGGTAACTCAAACAAACGCGCACACCCATGTTTCTTGGCTGGCCAACGTGGCGCCCGTGCCCGAACCGCCTGGCGCATGGGCCAAAGATCTCACGGACAGCCGCCGCAACTTGGAGCTTGGCATACCCAGGACTAAGGTCGCAGCCACTCGTTGTCAGCGTCCCGGTTTTGTCGAAGCAAGCAACCCGAACCTGGCCAAACCCCACTCCGAACCCTCAAAAAAACAAAAAAGCGCCCCCGGCCGAGACTTCTGTGGCAAACTGATGCATCCCAAGTCGCAAGTTTCGCAAGGGATCCCTTGACTCAACTGGAAAACACTATAAGTGTTGCAATTGCATCAACATTCAACAATTCTAGCAACCGGCCCTGCTAGACTCACTCATAAGCTGAAAAAACAGAAACAACAACACAACACACATTGACGGAGAACATGTTTTCGGTTTCGGCTTGGCCCCTCTCAGAAACCTGCTTGCTTTGCTCGCTTCATACCCCCTACCATAACGGGGGGGGGGTGGGGGGTCCCCAATTCCAATTATCTAGTCTTCCCCTTACAAAGGAAATGGAACCATAAATGGAATTCCAGAGGTCACCCCCCATCCTTTGCTCGGAATTTCCGCCTTCCCGGCCAAGGCGATCCGCTTCGGCACCACGCAGAAGATGGAGCTCTCGTCTCTCAGCCGCTGCGCGGACATGACCTGCCCGCAGGTCAGAAGAGGGACACAGGTGAAACAGCACGCGCCCCGAGCCCCGCGTTTCACACTTCGAGGGGAGCCGTCCATTTCCATTCTTAGGGATCCGAATATTTTCAGGAAACCATCAAACACCCGAAACAGCTGGTTTTTGAAAAGAACGACGGTTGAAAAGAATGGTTGGAATCAACCCCTAGAAAAATAAGATTCCTATACTGGTTCCACATGTTTTGAGACGCACCTTCAAATGAGCCCGTTCACATCCCCGCGATTCCAGACCCGGAAGTTAAAAAAGAGCCATTTGGAAAACCCGATCAAACCTTAAAGTACCCAAAACACCAACAACATTCAGCATGGTGAGCTCGTTTCACCGCCGGTGCGCTTGCATAGAATAGATATCATTGAGAGGCCCTTTCACCCAGGGAAACTGCCCCCTTTTGAAGGTCCCCCCCCTTTGACACTCACCCAAAAAGGGCTTCAACAAAGGGCCCCAAAAATTATACGCAAAAGTTTCGGCGCCTTTAAACCAGGGTGTCAACCACATGTCTCCAAAAATGAGTCAAACAAACACGATTCAACAACCAACAACAGCTACATGACCTGCATCAAAAGGTCCTTTACATGGAATGACCATTGCTTGGCAAACCACAAAAAACAAATGATGCCTCCTGGGACAAGTTCCCCACGGTCTTCTTTCTTTTCCGAGGCCGAACAACGGGTCCGTATCGATGGGTCAACGCCCCCGAGAACGGCCGAGAACGGGCCACGAGTCGGGTTCGGCCGTTCGGCCTGGCCCACGGAGAGGACGATGTGCAGCATGGTGGGCAGTACGCAGGAGCAGGTGAACACCGCGGAGGCCCAGGTGGCCGTGAGCGGCAGCTTCCTGAGCCAAGCCGCCGCTGGAAAGACCCGGGGGGGGGGGATCTCGTGGCGTGGTGGTTGGCTGGATTTTCTTTGGAGGCTCGGCGGATTTGTTGTTTGGACGTTTCCTAAAGGGAAAGCAAGAAAAGGAAACCAAGCACTGTTGGGGGTCTGCCAATTTTGATACATACCCAAAAATGGGTGCTTGTTGTGGACATGGGCTTTGAGGAGAACAGATGAAAACTATTTTGGGGGCTCCTCGATTGGTTTTCCTGGAGATGTTCGTAAACCAAGGGCATCATTGTAATCACTGGAGGTTTGAAGGGAGACCAAGGGAAACCTGCCCAGGCAAATCCGAACAATGACAACTACATTCAGACAAAGAAAGCACGGCCTATTGCACATGTCAGGAAAGCTGCCTCCTCCTGTAGCACGTTACGGCGTTCCATCAGCCTCTCAGCGGATCTAGGAAAGACTAAAGTTCGGCACAAATTAGAATGAGCTCACCGAGTCGAAGCTAAGATGAGTCAAGCAAAGAAAACACACTTAGAGGTACTTCCAGGATGTCTGTTGGTCTCTTTCGTTCGCCCGCTTGCGGGCTGAAACATCGTTCAAAACAGCAATTTTTGAGGCAGGAACTCAAACAACAGAAATACGTGTCACGTTTTGGATTTGATTAAGTTGAGTATTATTGGTTTAGGTGCAGTATATGTTCTAGAGGGTCCCCTAATACGTCTGGAGTTGGGGTTGGAGGGGAAGACAATGGAAGCTCGCTAGTTCAGTATTGGTTCACTCTTGTAAGGTTAAGTATTGAGGGGCGTTGGAATTGTTGAAACACAGTATTCATCATTCGGGGACCTTCAGAAATAGGGGGCCGTGATTCAACCATGCCATCCTTCGGCGCCATTGTACGCAGTAAGGCATGTTGTTCATAGCGGGGGACTGACATGGGCATCGTTCATTGAGGGTGCCCTTTTTGGGACTTCTTAGGGGAAACAAAAGGGTGCCTTAGGTTTCCCTTGGGTTTGGGTCTTGTTAAGGGAAGCAAACCCCATGTGGCGTTCACGGACACTTCATGGATAGGTCTCCAGACCAAATGGGGTGCCCTTTCCCCTTTGCCCCCTGGCCAAAGGTGGCGCGTCTTTGGAGAGGGAAAAACAAATTGCACACACTGTTGCTTTAAACAAACAAAAATGAATAGAAGAAGTGCCCAGCCGATGTTAGGTTAGACCCTGCCAGCTAACAGTCGTGTTGAAAGACCTGAGCGGCGGGTTTGTGGGTACTATCAGGGCCCAAATGATGAGAATGGGGCTGTGGGGTGCGTGAAAACCAAATTATGTCATGATAATTGTCGTGAAGGGTCTATTTTATACAGTCCAAAATGAGTCTAAAAAGGGGCCTCTTTTGGACCCCGAGGCATCTCCTGTTTGAAGGCGGCCAAGACAACCGGGGCCGTTCTTCAAAATGAGGCAGCGTGCCCCCAAACGGCAATGGCTTTCGTTTGGTGACCAACCAAACTCACCTCAGCTTACAAAGATGAACTAAACGCACCCCAACAAAAGACCAATCTAGGGCACGCAGAGAATTACCTTTTCAGATTCTGTTTCACATTTGGTCTACGACTCTACAATAAAATGATGACAATCATCATATGGGTGTGGCTCAAAATTAAACAGGGGGGGCAAACCGCAGGTTTTGGTACCCATGTTTCCACTTACCGATCGGGCAAGCCATTCTGGAATTCCGTTTTTTTGGTTGCCACAGCCATATGGAGGGAGACCCCAGAAGCCAACCAAAGAGCCACCCAACAAAACCAAACGAAGCGGTTGGCGGCTCCGCGCAGCGGCTTTCCAACGGCCCGAGGATTCCGAGGCGCTGGTCCTGCGCATAGCGCATGTACATCACCCTCATCAAGGTCACGGAGATGAGCAGCGCGTAGGCGATGAGCAAGAAGAACACCACCTCAGTTTTTTGGGCTGGTTCCATTTTTTAATTTATTTTGGGCCAAGGTAGACTTATTCAGAGGGGGAGTAGTGCACCACTGCAGCAAGGGAGATCACTACCATAAGCATCAAGGGTTGATCTTGAACAAGAGCTTCTGTGATAATTACCACTGCATGGAAGGGCCTGCTTTTCAGTGACTAATTCAGTTAAAGGGGTGGTTCCCTGGTATCACGGAGGTGGCAAACAACAAACTCATGCAGCTTGTTTGCCCCCCTGGAAACAGGGTAAACCAAAACTATCTAGTTAAGCTGAACATCTAAAATACATTGGAGGAGACCCCCGCAAAGATTGAATCTTGGAGCCGATGCAAGCTGAGGAGCGCTGAGCTGCTCGTCATATTTGAAGATCAGCTTGGGAGGGTAGAGGATCAGCAGCAGCAACTGGCCCTTCCTCGAGACAAAAAAAGAGGGCCACGTCTTATAGGTGTCTTTTCTAGATGCATGCCGGTGGTCTTCTTCAGATTGTGGTTCGACACAATCCAGCATATTTGGGGGAAACCACTTTGGGAGGCATCTTTGTTATGGGGGGAAATCGCCCCACTGCCCAACCAGCCCATACCTCCAGCATCACCCCTGTCCACTCCTGGGTTGGTCCAAATCACCCGGACGACAAGTTATTAGCTGCTGTTGGCTGGTTACTGGGAAATAGTAGTGTCCACAAGACGCGTTGCCAAGCTTCTGACAGCGTCAAAACACTAGATGTTTGAGACAACCTCTGAAAGTCGAACGCTCTAGGGAAGCATGTGGCTGGAAAACGCCTGTCAGAAAAAAAAAGAGCGCTGGATCCATAAACCTCTGGTTGATTCATGGGGGTGCTCCAATTCAGAGCAAATCCTTCATTTTTCAGCCTGTTAGTCAGCCAGGTTCTTCTTCAATCTGGGGGAGGGCATTAGAGGGATCTGTGGTGGATATGTCTCAAAATAGGTTGACCCTAAAAAACCGGTGATTTACGTTTTGGTTTTCCTTTAACATAGCCCCAACAAGGATCAGGGTAATTACCTTCAAACATCTATCTATCTATATATATATATATTTATGTGTGTGTGTGTGTTTGTATGCATGTATGAAAGAAGGAGTATGATCACACAACACGCACACACACACACACACACACACACACACACACACACACACACACACACACACACACACACACACACACACCGGTGGGCCAAAATCTGCTCCCGGCGTCTGCGTGTGGATGCCCGTGTGCGTGGCCAAAGCCCAGGTATCATCGTCCACCGCTTGCAGCACAGTTGTGCCGGCCTGAGGCGGACCACATCCGATCGATGCGAGAACTCGAGAGGCGTCGAGTTCAGGCCTTAAAGAGGAGGAGATGCAGATGCAACCAGTGACCCGAAACGTACAAGAAGAATCGGACCCTTTCGGGCGTCGATTCTATATGGGGGCACCTGAAGTCTGGGCTTGAGATCCAGTGAAACGAGCAACAAGAGCAAATGGTTCGAGGGTACCCCTTGTTAGGTCTCGTGTTGTTCTTATTCCAAGACATAATGTGTCAAACAAGGGCACCTGCTTGCCTTTGGGCTTCCCGTTAAGATGAAAAGGATACCCTCACAAACAAGTGCACACATGTGTTTGTTAGCAAGCTTGCAAACGTTCACAAAACGCTTTGGTCACTTGGGTTTGTTTCTGGCCCAGTTTTGATTCGTTACCAATCTTGTTAGGCTCCTTCAATGCCAGGTGTTGATTCGGACAGTTGTACTCGTCCGTGATGAGAAGACCCTTTGAGTGGGCAAGAACTCACGCTGAGAACGAGTTGAGGTGCGCTTTTGTTTAAGGGCACCTTTTTGGGGTTCATTGAAAGGGAAACCAAACGGAACTTAATGGAAATCATCCATTCTTGCAATGCAGAAACAAATCTGCACCCATGCCCACGGCCAAAGGGCTGTCCGTAGTACATGTCACCCACCCCGGCATTGAGTGTGGCTCACATGACAGCGCCCTTTAACTTTCCACGGTGTTGACTGCAAAGGTTCAAATCAAAGGGCAACGTTCCAAGGCCGGCCAGAAACGAAAAATGGAGCACCTGCATCGATTGACGTGTGTCTGCCTGCCAAGATGAAATAAGGTTTAAGGACTCCTCAAGTCAAGATCTACATAGAGAGCGAGTTTTACCGCCAGGTGAGCTCGCCGTAAAATATTCAGACGCGTATGCTGGACATCACTCAAAATGATCCTATGAAAGAAATGTTCACTTTGGGTGGCCCAGTTGGCGGCGCGATTCAATTTTGGATCGAGAGGCCACCAGCACGTGCTTCGTGGGGAAGCGCATACCAGGCCTAGGCCGCGAGAATTGGAGCCATGCCATGCCATGTTATGAACGGTGTGTTCATAGTTAGACTTCGCAAATGTGTGCATAGCATAACATACATATAAACCATATACTTATAAGTTATACAAATACAATTTGTATATGTAATATGACAAATACTGTATCCTTTGTTGGACCCCCTTTTGCGGGGTTCCATGTTAACTTGCAGGGAGGCATTCCGAAGTCAAGTGAGTGCCTCCCATCCAGCCCGAGGCGCGGGTCGTCCGGCAGGCGCTCCACCTGCGCGCAGAGGGGTGCTCCAAGCACCCGAGCCACACGGCTCTGGGCGCTTTTTTGGGGGGTACCCCTTTTTTGTAGGCGTTAAAGGGACACCAAAAGGAAAACCGCCATGTTGGGGGACCCGGTCCCCAAAAAAAAAGACACCCACATAATGTCCACGTGGGATTAGCAAGGGGTCCCCCCCCCAACGATGGGGCCACCTGGAATACTATCTTGAGATCCAGTTCAAGTGAGTTTCCATTTGATTTAGTACTGGTAGACTTGAGTTTCCATTTGATTTAGTATTGGTAGACTTGAGTTTCCAGTTGATTTAGCATTGGTGGAGCTTCCTTTTCAGATTTGCAACTGAATTTCCATTTGATTTAGTATTGGTGCAGCTTCCTTTTCTTTTTTCGTCGGGGGGCCAGGCAACAAGACTTTATTTCGGGGGGCCCTGAAATAATGTCAAATTGGGGGCTGAAGTACTACCCCCTTTGATTGTGGGCAAGTTTTAAACTGGATATGTTGAATTTGGGGCGCTGAAGGACAAGTTGCCAAAGATCCAAGGACGAGGTGTTGGCTTGGCTATCTCTCCTCTCCTTTTTCTGCTTCTTTTTTTTGTTTTGGGGGGAAAAGTTTGGGCACAGGTGGCGGGTGCTTGTCTTTATTCCAGGTGCATTTATTAATCTCTTTGGGACTTTATTTGTCTTTGTTCCGCGTGCATTTATTAATCCTAATTATGTGGATATTAGAGGCTTGGCCCCTGGAAAAGAAACACAGTTAACAAAAACAACAGTACGGACTTTCTTGATACAGCTCGGTCACCCTGTCAAGGCTTCTGCAACCGAATCCAACAAGTGGTCCATGAAATGAACAAAGCCCCCGCTGCCTGGGGTGAACGATGCCCGGCGTTGGGGGCACCTTTGAACAATGGGCAGTAACCTGGCGAAGAAACACCAGCCTCCAAGACCCTTTAGAAATGGTGTCGTCGAACTTTTACGACATCTCAAAAGAACAACGGGTGATCACATCGGGCTCCACCGTGAGAACATTGCATCTCATGCTGCATGCTGCCCTGAGATGCCATCCCAAGGAACCCTCCTCATGGTTAGGGGCTGTTGTAGGTGCGTTCTTCAGGCAAGAAATGCGTCTCTCAAAAATTGGCTTGCCTTTGAAACCATCCAACAAGAGATCCACTTATCTTAAGACATCCCCAAATGATGGGTTATACTATACCCCTGTTTCTTACGGCGGCCCAAGGACTGCAGGATGACATCCCCTTGCGCTCTAGATGAACACGTGGAATGGAGAGGCATGAGTGGAGTTGCAGGGAGTACTGATGTCAAGCTTTGACATCAACAATCGGTGATCCGCTAACCAAACACAGGCGGTGCTTTGGCGAATGTAAAGCGACCCGCACGTCGCGTCGCACGCATCCTACAAAAACCAAAGTTGGTATTTCGAAGTCGGTGTGCCAAATCGTGTGCCCCTTGTATACACTCTTGTGAACAATCTTAGAAGTACATAGGTTTTGTTTTTTCAACATTCATGGAAGTGCATGTGAGTTTTTTTCAAGAAACATGGAAGCTGCACAAACTTGCCCCACACCGGTTTCGTTAACAAAGATCACCCCCAGTAAATCCCTGGGAAATACATAAACCCAAGCCCCGCCATGTTAGCTAAACCCGCTTTCGGCAGATATATCAGTTTGCACTAACATGGAAGTGCACAGGCCCAAAATCACATAAATGACTTTAGACAATCGTGGACGAGGAAAAAACAAAAAGCCTGGGAGCGTCTAAGATTGTTCGAAAGAGTGTAAGTCACCGCTGCGCCTAAGCCACAGCTGCCCCCACCCGCGTGGGCATGAAATACACAACTGGGTTTCGATTGATCCCGATCCCCATCTTTCGAAACCTGCAGTCATTTTGAAACCTCAACCTCCCCCCTTCTTGACACCCCACTTTGGGATTAGAAACTGCGTGTTGAGGGGTCCTTCAACCAAAATTGAAGAAACACATCAAGAAATCACGTCTTGTCGACTTACAACAGCTCCCAGCCCCCCTCACTCTCTCTCACCAAGTTCAACCCACTTGGCAAGGTTTATAACAATGGATCATGGTTCCACAATAATTCCCAAAAGACAAAACATCCCCCGCCCCCGGCCACTCCCATTCCCAACACGGCAATTTCCGAGTAAGGATTTTGGACAAAAGTATGTCATGCTTAGTATGGATGTGGTGTTGGTTTACTCTTGGTTCTAGGTTGCCGCCTAACGCCACTGGAGTTGGGTCAGCGGGACACTTGCTTGCTGGAATAGAATTGGCTTAGCGTTGGCCGAGTCGAACTTAGTATCGGGAGATTTGGGGTCGGGGGCACATCATGGTTATCCATACCTTGCATATAATATGGGGGAGGGATCAACCAGAGCCTACTGGTTGGGCTGATCCGAAAATCCCCTCGCAGCTCCCCCACCCAAAACCCTCCCAGGCCCGCAGCCCAGCCCTGCAGCCGAAATGCTGGCGCGAGGCGCTGCACCGGCATGGACTCCCCGGTGAGCGTGGACTCGTCGCAGACCGCCGCGCCCTTGAGCAGCAGCAAGTCGCAGGGCACCTCGAACCGAACCGTATGGGACCGGACGGGCGTATGGGACGGGCTATGGGAGATATATGGCTGTGGCTCAAATAGATGTCCCAAAATGGCCTTGGTACATGGAACCAAAGACTAAAACTTGCGTAACCCCAGCTCTTGAACTTTGAGCAACACCCATGTGGATGTGCCACTGGACGCCAGCAACACAAAATATATGTGTTGTTTGATAGGATGTAGGGGTATGGGATATGCACCTATGTGGGTGTGAATTTCTACAGGGTTCTCGCATGGGAGGAAACCTCAGGCAAGTTGGAGGCTCCGGCAAAAAAGCGGGGAGCCCCATAGGATGGCCATTTGTGAAGGGTTCCCAGCAGGGAGTTCAGGGCAACCATGAATCGCCGGCAGCAAGGAAAGTTGGCCCAACTCTGGGGTAGACCACTGTAGTGAACCTTGGAACATGACACGTTATCTCTGGATACCGGTTACACTCTAGTGAGTGGGGAACTGTTTGTTGAACCGTTCGTTTCAACAACCAGCGCTTTCCGGCACAAATTGCCGGGTCCGTGTTTAGCAACAAAAGAATAAGTTTCCGCGGACTTGGTGCTTGTGGGACAAGTTTACGGTTCCGTTGGATGGAGTTGGTTCAGGCTTTCGATTCACGGGGTCCGATTCAAGCTCCCACTTCATTTCAACTGAGGCTTCAACATTGCGATGAACGATTCGGGGTCCACACACACACACACTCTTCCCACGTATGAAGTTCTAGCAGCCTTGAATGTATTGAGACCACAGCTGACAGAGTCTGAGCTGTTCAAGGGTAAGCCTTCATCCCTCCCTTGGGCTATGCAACGGGGCCTCCCCTATAGAGATTCTGGATAAGGATTGGCCAACCCTCCATTTTGAACAGCCCAGAGAGTTTAAGCCTGAACGGCGCTTTCCTTTTGAATCCTTGACCCAATGGCAAGAAGCCTTTCGCGCGAAAAACAGCCTGAGGTCCCAAGCAAACGGGTGTCCTAAAAGGCGCACCCGTGAACCACGCGGTTTCCAAGTGTGATGTCCCTTTAAAACCATCCCAGGACCATCCCAATGGAGGCCATTTTCCGCGACACTCAACTGTGCAACACCGTCCGCGGAGATTCCGCACCCTGAAATGATACTTTCACGCAATCCCATTTTGGCACCCTTTCATTAAGTTTCTTGACAGAGCTTTTGATCCATGCTCACGAAATGCACATATTTGCCTCCCCTCCTGATATTTAAGGGGTCTACCAAAGCCATTTCAAGAACTAAAACGGCACCTCCCCGCATTATTCCGGTTCAGTTGGGATTGTTCCTTTCTATCCTTAATCCTTCTACCTAGGTGTTGCTTGCTGCTCACATGGGTTGTTCTTTGCTTGAGCAACCTATTGAACCATATGTCAGCGTTTCTGTTGGAGTTGGTACCCCCTCTTTTTGGTGGTATTACAGGAAAATCACAAATATTGAATACCATTTTGGGACGGTGCCCCCTAAAAAAAAGACCCCCCGTATCAACTGTTGGTTCATGTGCCCAAAAAACGAAGTTCGGGGGTCCCATGAAACAAAGGTTGCACACATGCGGGATTTAACCCTTTCTGTCATACCCAAGCGGGCCATCCGTGACTACTTTGTCACTTTAAAGCGGGTCCTTGGTTATCACAAAACTTGGCTCTGGGGTACACACACAAAAAAAGCGCGGATTCTGTTCCATCATTGAAATGTTATCCCAAACATACCAGTACTGCGTATGGACAAAATCCTGCACAGTTGAAACCATGGTTGAAACCTTGTTTGTTGGTATTTACAGGAGACTCATATCACTCTGTTGGTTTTCTTTTCGGTGGTGCGAACCGGATTTCGACCGTCCACAGTATGAACCCCTCTTTTTTGGGAGACCTGAAAAGCTCACATCCTGGGTGGATGGGCCAAAATAAGTCCAAACTTCTTGTTTACCCTAAAACGGGTCCTTCCCAAACAGTTTTTGAAGTCCAGGAACGCAGGAGCTGAGAAAGAGTGGACCCACAACCCTTTCCCATGTCCGGCGCTGTGGCAGCCCATGTGGCCGGTCCGAGATCCGAGGTGCTGGGCCGCTCTCCACCTTCACCACATCCCCCGGAACCAAGTCCCCAGCGTCCACCTCCCGCGCTCTGCTCTTGCCATCCCCGTGAGGTTCGTGCAGACCAGTGGCCATGGGACAGGCTCTGTTTTGGGGTTGATTTTTAAGGGACGCAAACCAGTGGATGTCTGAATCTTAATTGGGCAACCCTACGGCCTTAAACTTCCCTTGGAAAAGTTCAAGGTTCAAGCTTCAAGATCCAAAGCCTGTAGCAATCGCTAGGGCCGCTAGGGTGGCAACCCGGGGGCAATTCCCGGCATCTGAGAAGCATGCAAACTGCAGCCGCAGCCAGGGCTCTTTCAGCCGGCACGTCACCCACCAGGGGAAAAATGGCCATCCGGGGTGTTTTGAGGGTCAGGGACGAGTTACGATGTGTGAACAAGCAAGTTGTTGTGCTTATGTCTGGTGGCACGGGAATCAAGTGCGCTCCAGGGGTTGTGCGGGGCTCACTGGATTCCCAACACTGCAACTTTGGGAGGTCCAAACAATGGAAACTGAGGGACCCCTGATTGATCCAGAGGAAACAAAAGCCAAATGCTTGCTTTGTTCATGGGAACTCCTTTTCAACCAACCGGAAACATGTGGAAACCCAAAACAAGTCCGCCCAACCGTGCAGGAGCGAAACTCGTGGAATTCCCACGAAAATCATGAGCCTTGAAACTGCAAGGTATTGGGATGCGGTTTTCCTCTTGGGGGTTACCCGGTGTCAGTGCCATGTTCGTGGCAGGGCCTCCATGACCTGGCCGTCGCGCAGCACCCGCGTCTTCAGGTTCTGCTCCTCAGCTCCGAAAGGGTGAAAGTTCCGCGGATTAATTTCCGCAAATGGCCCAAAGCCGTGTTTTGCACTGCTTTTTAAACTTCCAAACCCATGGATCCATGAAATGTTTAGCTACTTGGCGGGATTAGTTCTATGATGGAGCTATTTTGAGCCTGCACGATCCCAGTCTTTTGTGCTTGTTTGGTGCTTCCAGTGCCGACAGATCGGACACCGGAACAGAACCTGCAAAGGAATCGAGGAACATCCAACAATACTCGAGTCACTAAACATGAAAATATTATATATATATATATATACACGGCTCTTTCTCAAAACAAAGCACTCCTCCAGGTGGTTGAATTTCTTTGGGTTTCCCTGAAGCCCCCGTGCCAAAAGGGACCACTATCTCGAAACACACGCATACGTGCAATTAACAGATTCGCATTGAAGACATGGAAGGAACACCCTTTGGGGGTGGTTTGCCTCTTGGAACCTTCAACCCTCTTTCGCTGATTGTGCGTTGTAGTAGTGTTAACTTTGGATTCATCCCGAGGACTATATTGATCAGGGGTGGCTCCGCTTCCTATGAAATGATCCTATGGATTATGGAAATGATCTTTTTTAGGCAGTTCCTCTGACGAGTAGGGGTGGCGTCCTACGGGTTGATCCGATATTCATATGACGGTATGGACACCCATATTGTTGTTGGAAAACCCTGAGCTTGTTTGCTCTAGAAGAAAATAGTCATGGGTGCTGGACAAACCTTTCCGGGTTTCCCAGGCAGTCCAAGCCAGGCGCCAGAGTCGACCCAAACTGCAGCCAAATTCTTAAGCCACCCCCCCAGTAAACCACCCAACAAATAGACAGGCCAGCACAAACGTGGCGCTTCGGTCAACCTCCGACCGAAAGGTTTCCCAATTGGGTGCTCCGGCCACAAAACAAGTAGGCCATAGCCGTAGATATTATTAGGATAATTGGGGTTAGCTCTCCTACAAACATAACCTAAGATCGCCTACTTACGCAGTGGGTTGAACACCCAAGCAGGCCTGCTTTGTCCAAACAATCAAACAAACAAACAAACAAACACACACCCAAACCCACACCCACACCTACACCCACACACACACACCACACACACCCATGCCCACGCCCACACTTACACCCACACCAACACCCCCACCACACACACACACAGCCACACACACACACACGGACACACACGCACACACACAGTCACACACAGGCACGCAAACACGCACAGACACACAGACAAACACAGACACACAAAAGTCACACACACACATTCATACTTATATATATATACATATATATATATATATACACATAACACTATACACACACAGACAAGCAGACACGCAGACACCCTACATGCAGACGCGCAGACACGCAGACGCACAGACACAGAGACACAGAGACACAGACACGCAGACACGCAGACACGCAGACACGCAGACACGCAGACACGCAGACACGCAGACACGCAGACACACATACACACAGACACACAAACACACAGACGCACAAACACACAAACACAGAGACACACAAACACACCCACACCCACACTCACACCCACACTCACACCCACACCCACCCACACTCACACACACACACACACACACATCGCGCTTTTTTCATGTTTGCCAACGAAAAAAAAAAGACACGATTTTGTTTTTCTGCCTTGTCCATTCGCGGGTTTCAAAGCCACGAGAATCCGAGGCGCCATCATGGACTTGATGGACTTTTGGCTGGCCAGGCGGACCGAGGCGTTGAAGAAACCCGAGGACACAGCGATGCTCACCGCGATGATGGTGTAGTGCCAGTAGGAGAACCACGCCTTTGTCTCAGGAAGACTCAAACATGGGCCTTGGTAAAGGGTACAATCAAAAAAGACACATTCCTATGGGTTTGCCACGGCCTTCGGTTGGTACAAAAAGGGGGAGAAGCAATGAAGTTAACAAGGTGCTTTTGTTGTTGTTGCAGCTGCTGCTGCTGTTGTTGTTGCGTGGGATTTGAGGCTTGCGTCACATGTTGTTCTTCCTGTTTTAGGTGATACAAAAGCGAAACCCAAAGGCAAACCACCCTTGTTGGGGTCATCCTATTTAGTACCAGTAGCAGAACCAGACCGTGTTTCTCAAAACAAACCTAGAACCATCTCTCTGTTGGATGCTTTGAAGGGGGAACCAAAAGGTGCATTGGTTGAGCTTGTACCCATGTCAGGTTGGCTTAAACCGATAGGAAAACCCATCATGTGTCGGAGGCCCCCTGCTTAGTTCCAGGCGAACAGGACCTCATGACGCATGACGAGCTGATGAGAGAGAAACTGTTGGCATCTGTTGGCAAGGCAAAACCACAAAAAGGGGGAAGCCGTTACAAAGGAAGCCGGAAAAGGGGGGGGCTCCTTTGCTGGAGTTGGTGTCAGGCAAACCCCAAAGGAAGCCACCCTCCTGAAGTCCCATCGTGTGGCCAGCCAGTAGCTGAACCAGACCTCACGCGAGATGACAGGAAAAGTGGCAGGCAAGGCAAGAAACTGGCAAGGCTCAAAAAGGAATGCCTGAAGAAACAAAAGAACTAGACCTCATGCTATGCGTACCCGACCAAACCCTAGCATGAAAGGAAGCTACCCATCAGGCAAAACCTGTCATGAAAGCTTAGCGCGCACCTGTCGTAAAAGGAGTCTGAGTCTACCCAGGACGGTAAACGCCTGGATGAGCAAAGACAAATCCAAACTTCTTGTTTGCCACTAGAATTGTCTTCAGAAAAGAACGAAGTCTAGGAACTCAGGGAGTGACTTCACCCTATGTTATGAGCAAACAATTGCCTACATAATATAACCCGCACCCCTTCCAGTGGCCATGGCACAAAGGAGGCATCCGCTCTCCGGCCCTATTTGCCCCTCGAAACAGTCCGTTCGCTCGCAACAAAACCGGAGCCAGGCTGCGCAGACCGCATAGATGGCGAACTGGTACCTGGGAAATATGTTGGTGTTTCTTTTTCTGAGGGCAACCCTGTTCTGACTTTACAAACCCAAAGGGAAACCAGCCAGTTTGGCTCGCACTATTTTAAACAGACACATGTTCCAGGCAGACATAGCAACATGTGTGAAACCAGCCAGTTTGGCTCGCACTATTTTAAACAGACACATGTTCCAGGCAGAAATAGCAACATGTGTGTGGTGTGTTTGTGTGGTGTTTGCGAAGGTTCCTGCTCTGCTTGGGTAGAAGAAACATCAATTTGGCTTCGGGTTGCCCCCAATGTTCCACATTGCCTACATAAAAAGCGGCGGCGGTGGTGGACAAATTCCTTGGTGGTTTATCCCAGTATATCCCAGTATTCATAGGGTGTCATCCATCCCAACTGGTGCAGGATTCTGTCCATTGACAGCATGTTAAAACAAGCAAATGTACCCCCTGAAGCAACACAAAGGGTCGAACAATCGTGGCTCAAACATGTCAGAGTTTGCTGGCGGCAGGGTTCCAGGTTTCCCGCCATGCTGGCACCTGTTGCACTCCTCTTGTGGAACTAACCTACTACCAAACAATCCGAGGACGTACTCAAAGAGCGAGGGGTAGGCCTTCACCGTTCCTTTCCAATCCAATGGTTGTCAAGAGCCGGGCCCAATCCCCATGGCTCATCGAACTCTCGGCCATGCAACTCTATGAGCACAGCTCGCCAAGGAATCCGAGACACGTCTGGCCACTCCCAACATGCGCAATGTCCCCCTGTTTGATGTTCTTCCAGTTGGCTGCCCTATTGTCTCCTAATTCAGAAAAAAAAAAAAAACATGACTCCCTCACCACTGTTCAAATGGGTGTGGCTCAGAAATATCGAAATGGAACCCTGGTAAATGGAAAAGACTAAATCCTGCGGTGCCATGTCTCTGAACATCTTGAGGAACACCCAAATGTGCCATACGCAAAACTCATGGCGGGCATTTCAGGGGTATGGGAAACTTTGCGTTGGCCTCAAACTTGGGGGTGAAGAGATGGTCCCAATGAGTCAGCCCATTTGAGCGGGCCCGAATCATTGGCCATTCCATGAATTACAAAGCGACGAGGGGCACCACGCCTCCTCGCGCCATGCCGAAGTCCAAGAGAGTGAGGAAAGGCGAACACATGAACCACACACTCAAGCTTGAACTTCTCCACCAAAGAAACGACGAGACATCCACCAAAAAAAAAATCCTCATGAAACACACATATTGTTCCATGCACAAATGGTAGACTGCCCTCGAGAATCATTGGATTTCCACTCACCATGCTGTTGATTGAACAAGGGACAAGTGCCGCCTTTCCATCCCTGCTTGTTCCGTGGCCAGGACGCAGGAAGAAGAAGGTACAGAACTCTTCGGTCAGCGCCTGAGTCCAGCTGTCCACCTCGCGCGCATGAAGATAAGACCACCTGTGTGAACATGACTATCAACAAGATCGCTTTAGCAACCAAGCGGAGGTTGCTGATGTTAAGGATACCTTGTTGTTGAGCTTGTTTGTTGGGTGTTCGGGTTGTGAACATTACCCCTTTTTTCCCATGGAAGTGATCTTGGGAGGGCAATGCTCAAAAGGTATGTGGAGGTTTGCGGACAACTTGCAATCATTCCCAACTGAAATCAAGGGTCCCTCCCTTCCTTTAAGAGGAACCCTGCTGGGCTTCTCCTCATGCCCAGTTTTAGTCACTGGGGGGGAGACCAAGCTTCGCTTTAAACAAACCCGACCGCTTCAGTTTCCGCCTGCCTCGAAGGGGATTTGGTTTGGACCCGCGCTCCTGCCGAGAAAGCGCCGGGCCGGCGCATAGGTATAAACATGGTGGGGGGGAGTTGACTGGTCAGGAAGGTTGAAGCTGTTTGGACAAAGATACAGCTGAGTTTTGACACTTGAGCACCCAAAACCCAGACGTATGCTGCTACCAAAGTCCTTCATACAGCTACGGCCCTCAAACCCTCTCAAACCAGGTAGCTAAACTAATCCTTGTCCTGAGGACACTTGGGCTTCTATAAAAATAGGCGGGTCCAGAACCGTTGGCAGTTGTTTCCCTTGGCTTGGCTTTACGAAATCCTTTCTGGCTGACAACGTTTTAGCTGAAAACATCCCGTGCATTGTACCGATAAGGCAGTCGTCAAAGAACCCCAGCAGAAATAATGTCCAAGCTGGGGACTACGGGGCACCCCTTGTGCTGACGTCGAGTATTGACAGCTCACACAGTAATCCAAGATCCCTCATCCTTCCCTACAGCTGCGCACCTGGCGGAACTGACTCGTCGGAAGGGGACAGGTGTCAGCAAAAACGCAAAAACCATCTAGAAAACCACCGCTTTGGGCAAAGGAATAGGGCTTTGCTCCCAGGAAACGGTGGATGCTCTACGTAAATGTTGCAAGGTAACCAACCACACTTAATCCCCAAATCACGGCAGATCACGGTACATGACGGGGCCCTTGTTCCCATTGCGATATTTTGGGCAGAGCGCACCTGTCAGCAGCCTTGGAGATCTACCAGAGACGAGGCTCAACCACCTTCCAGTGGCCTTCGCTGGGGCTGGCTTCGTTTCCGGGACCCACATGAATGTGTCCTGGAAGAGCCTTTTGAGGGAGGGCCTCCCCAGATATGGTCTTGCATGTTTGATGTTTCTTCAGGTTTTCTGTGTTCTTCATGATGAGCCCAGTCTCCCAAATCAAGCAAGAATTTCGGAGGGGTTCCAAAATGTAGGAAAGTGCAATTGTTTGCTATTGAAGCCTATTAAGCCTTAATGAGCCTTAATAAGGCTTATTAAGGCTTATTCAGGCTTAATGTGGTGGGGAGGCCCCCCCCCCCAAAAGCTGCACAGGGACACGCTTTTGACCCCCCCTTCCCCCCCCGCCCCCCCCGCTTTGCCTCCCCTCCCTCCCCCCCCCCTCCCCTCCCCTCCCCTCCCCTCCCCTCCCCTCCCCTCCCCTCCCTCCCCTCCCTCCCCTCCCCCCCTCCCCTCCCCTCCCCTCCCCTCCCCTCCCTCCCCTGCCCTTACCTCCCCTTACCACCCCTCTTACTTTTCAACAAGAAATAATTATGTTGGTCTCTTCAAAGTGTCGCACTTTGACTAGAAATCTGGGGCATATGTTCTAGGATTCGATGCGATTGGCCAGCTAGCGGTCAATCAGTCAATCAGCTTCAAATGTTTCTTCATTGAGAAGGAGCTTAATAAGTTTTAACTGCTTAGTAAGGCTTAATAAGCCTTAATAAGGCTTAATACCGTTCAATACCGCTGAATAAGGCTTAATAAGGCTCAATATGGATTTGGGCATGTTTCCTCAAATCTGGGGAGGCCCTCCCTTGGGAGGCTCTTCAGGGACACACGAACATGCTCCTTCACCGACTCAGCCCAGGTGGTATCCCCAAGAGCTTCGGGGAAGCTCTAACCCTCTGCCCCAAACCACCCCTATCGCTTGTCGTGGTAGAGACCCCGTAGCTTCAGCTGGGTAAAAACAGGTTCCGGAAGGAACCCTCCTTCACCCTTCCGGGAAGCTGCCCCAAACCACCCCCTATCGCTTGTCGGGGCAACCCCGTAGCTTCAGCTGTTGGGTAAAAACAGGTTCCGGGAAGCTGCCCCAAAACAAGCCCTCACCGCCAATCCGTGCAGAGACCACCTAGCCCTTGAAACCGGGTCCTGTACATCTCCTCCACCGTCGGGAAGTTTCCCGGCGATGAGGTGCCCCGGGATCTGAAGGCAGAAGAAAAAAAACAAAAAAACACGGGGGATTCTCCTTTTAAGGGGACACCCGAAAGTGGTACAAACCTGGTTGCCCAGTGACTCGGCTAGAAAACCGGAAACGGGTCTTTGTGGAAATGGCCGTTTTAGTGTGGAGCCCACCGGACGAAATGAGAGTTAGAGGGTGCCAACGAACAACCGGGATTCTCCAGGGTCTACTTTTGATTTCCCGAGAAGTGAACGGGAAATCTTTGCTCTCCATTGGCCAAAATGGGCCGATCCACACACATGTCGCACATCAGGGGGCGTCAGTTTGGGCTGACCTGGTCTCGACAGTCAATACGAGGACATGGGACATTTAGAGATCGTCCCCTGAGCGTTATAAGACTTAGAGCTCCCCCCCTATTCTCGTCCCTCCCAAATGAAGCTTAGACTAAGTTTGACCCGACCTCATCTGGGTAGGGAGCTAAGAACCCTTCAAAGGGTTCTTGCTATTTTTTCCGTGCTACCGACTGCTGCTATATTTGCTCCTCAGGTAAACCAGCTTCTGCCTTGGCTAGGTCCAAGCCTGCGTTTCGGATCTTCATGTGGGGTGATTGGGCTGCTTCGAGCCATGAGTTGCAGCTAGCAGTGCAGTCCAACGAAAAGTGCCATTTGCAAAACAATTGGCACATTTTTCTCCTCGCAAACGTCCGCTTAAGCATTGGTCGTACACAAAAGACCAAAGCAATCCCTCGGCCCAAGCCTAGGGTCCCCTACAAAAAGACCACCCCCCACCGTTTGTAAAAACCAAAGCCATGCGAACATCCCGAGGTCCCACGAAAGTCTCTGATGACTTTATGAACATGACAGGTCTGGTTTTGAAGCCCGTGACCAATCCATTCCTTGGTGGACCTAAGGTAGAAACATATCAAATATCATCTTCTGATTGTGTGTTTATATGCTGTCACACATCTCAACCCTTGAAAAATAACATTTAGTTCTGAGACCCCAGCTTCTGGCACCCTCCTCGAAACTCCGAACCGAACGACTTTCGACTTGAACGACCTTCACGCAACTTAGAAACATCACGTGCAACCCGATTTCAAAAAACCTATGAGATTCAAACCTCTACTTTTATATCATGTTGGTCAAGGGCCTTGGAAGTCTGATACATTAACATTTATGTTGGGCCCCGGTTGGTATCATTTTGGGGTCAACTTTTGGGCCAAAATGTAACCATTGACCCAGGGCCAAACGAATCAAGGGCTTGCGGAGAAGCCCTGCCTCAGCCCGCCGCCCTGCTGGAGCTCAGTGAAGGCGTCCTGGCCTTTCCGCAAGCCTCGCGGAAAAGGGGGGGGAGGAGACGGGGTTCTGGTAATCATTGGGCTTCTGCTTTTTTCCCCCCCCCTGTTTTTGTTTGTCTTCGTGTTTTTGCTTTGTGTGGTTCTTTTTTGAGGTCTCTGTAAGGGAATTCCTTCAGGGATTTTTTGTGGTTGGATGTTGTTTTGCAACTTGGCCTCCTCAAAGCCATCCCTTTGGGGGCTCCCCGAATCACCCGCAAAGGGGGTTGGCTGGATAAACCGAAAGAACCACCGAATCCCTTTGACAGATGGATGTCCATACCCTGAAAACCCACAGAGCCCAGAGGAGGTCGCGGAGAGCTAAAACTGTCGCCTTTGAAGTGCCCCCGACTGTCCACTGGGTCATACGGTGGGGGGTGGGCGTGGACCATGGGGACACTCCAGCAAACCCCAAATGGCACAATTCAAGTCAGGATCCCAATTTTGGGCTACCCAGGATAGCCTTAAACCCAGGGATGGTTGAGTTCCCACATTGCATAAAAAACTGGGTTGAAGTCTACCTACTTTCGGTTAGCCCCAAAAACCAGGACCCTGGTTGAGGCATTAAAACAAAACGGTGGATTAAAAAGGGTGATAATATTCAAGGTAATACTAATACATGTGCAAATATATCTATATATTTATAAAGTGTCGTGCTCCATATCAACAGCCAGCAAATCTTTGTACTAGCTGTTCCCTCATGGGCGTCCCCACAATTCCTCTCGCCCCAAATGAACCAGCATCAGGACACATATCATAGCCTGCCAGGACTTGCCATGGTTCGCTTGACCAGTCCCTCCATACCGTGGGCAAAAATGGGTCAGTAATACATCCATTGCTAGTATCATGTGACGGTGTGTTGAACTTCAACAAGGCATCACAAAGCCACATGATACGAGCAATGGATAGTATTGCTTTACATGGAAGTCACAGGAACACCACCCATTTTGCCGGGTCCCGTTATCTTGACGGCTTGATTGTCCTTCAAAGCGATTACCCGCTGGGATGGCATTCAAGACGACCACCGCACATGGGACACCAATCCCCAACCAGCGGACATCAATCCCCGATAGCCGCTACCTGAACTTCTGCCCTCTTGGTTCCCCTTCCAGCAACTCAGTCCGCATTTCGATGCAACGGAGGCAAGCCGTCGCCGGATTTGTGTTCAGCTTGCCGGTAGCTCTCAGGTCTTTGAGCTTTCGGTTCCACTGCTCGACGGACTGCTGGCGTAGGCCCTCCGGGTCTTGTCTTTGCATGCCAGTTCTGCCATGCCGATATGCCACCCAGCACTGCACTTCCCATCGATCTCTGTAACATAGGTTGCAAAGAAGTAGTCAGCGAACTCGCCGCCATGCCCAGTCATCTGCTTCCACAAGCTTTGCAATGCGACATGAAAAGCAGTGGCTTGTGGAAGGAACATGAATTCGTAAATAAAGGCAAGGAAAAATGCCAGTGTCCGGCCCTTCAGTCAAGATTACAATTATCTTGTCCCTCGATGGATCGCTAATGTGATTGTCGGGAAACCAAGTCTGTTACGGTTGCCGGTTCTTCTCGGAACTTTACCACCCCGTTCCAAACAAACACCCACCTGGCAATAATGTTTGGTCCAATTCCTATTTGGGTGTGAATATTGATTGAGCACCGTGGTGAGCATCATTTGCATGGGTGTGACAAAATGAAGCGGGGCACGGCCCTTATTTTGACGGGGTGTTCCTTTTAAACCAATTCCGAAAAGACCACCCTCAAAACAACAACGCACCCACAAAAAGACGTATGTCCACCCATGTTTCTTGACCAGACTTAGACTCCCTGCAAAAGTTAAAGCTTTGCTGGCAAGAAAAAATAAAGGAACGTCAGAAAGGCTATCAGCTTACAATGTGGTACGCCAAATGGTGGGTTGTCCGTGGAGTGGCCCTTTGAAGCCTTTTGCGATGGGCTGAACCTCGGTTTCTTTCAGACCAGGCCATGAAGCCGTTTCCTCCCCGCAGTGTTTCACAATAAGCGCCGGTTGCGAGAGTAAGCCGAGTCGCTGCTGCTGGGGTCATGCTGCGTGAAGCCGTCGTTCTCGGAGTCCTAGTGGCTTCTCGACTCGCGTGGCAATAAATCTTCAGAAGATCTACATCTACGAGGTCCTCCAGTAGAGAGGATAGAATAAGGGTACCAACTCTTATCAGTAGTCTACTTTAGCAGGGGAACCCTCCCCCAAAAAAGGGGAGAGAAGGGACCGGGTCCCTGTCAGGTGCCATAGCAACGTGGGAGAGAGGGTAACACATCAAGATCTAGCTTGAGACTATTTAAATAATAAAGTTGTGAATAGGTCTATGTCTAAAAAAGGTAAAGGTTCGGAAACCATCAGCTGCATATTCTGTATGACACAGAGGATCTGAACAAGTCGAGACAAAACACAAACACCTTGAATAGGTGTGCGCCTGAAATGAAGAGTTGTACAACATCGCGTAGAACATGCAAAGCTCTATTTAACAGAGGGTCCACAAAATGAACAACCACACAAACAGCATTCCTCCTATATATCGGCTTCCTTTCGGAAAATTGAAGAATGGACAATTTAGTGGCTTGGCCAAGCCAGACACTCAAAGGAAAGCCGGGATACAGGGGCTGCCGCAAACGCCAACGGGCTGTAAGCGCCAGCCAGGTTCCTGGGATATTAGAAGTAAACCAACTACAAACCGTTGTAAACGGGAGGTGGGGGGGTGGGGTGGGGGGGAAGGGCGTCCCTTGCCCAATTGCAAAGGCAAGGCGCAAATGGGTCCGCCTCAAAATAGTGCTTGGGGGTTCCTTAATATATTGGAGCCTCTCACAAAATCAGCAAGTGCAAGCTTTGGAAGGTTCAACTCACCTTTCGAAAGTTGCCACACAGCGGCACAACATGAAAGTTTGGTATATCTTCGGTGGTTCCTTTGTTCAACAACAAAAGAAAGAACCGGGTTTCTGTTGAACATATCCTTTCAATTGTTGGTTTGAAGGAAAAGAAAGAAGAAAAAAAAACGGACGCCACTGGCAGATGGAAGTTAGCGGAGTCAGACGCCTGCGGCTCACCTCTCTGAGTCTCTGAGTCTCTGAGTCTCTGAGTCTCTGAGGCTGTGGCATAGATGTAGCGCTGGCACCGAAACCTGGGGTTCTGAGCGGCCGATCGCCGCGCCGAGAAAAACAAACGTGGCCTTCCGGTTGCGTCAACAATAGACTGCTCAAATGTCAAGCAGGGAAGAAATTGGACCATGACTCTTCGCGGAGGTTCAGCTTCACTCACTCACATGCAGACGGACCGTCAGTGTGACAAGCAACAAGGGGACCGGTCCAGCTGCAACAAAAGTCAATTTGTATCACAAATGCCCCCTGACATTATTCATCACCCATCTCGTTAGAAGACATTCTGCTCCCCTCATTTTACCATTCTCACTGCAGTAGAAAAACGGCAACCCCCAGTGCCTGACTTTGATAACCGAGAAATACGACCCCGGCACCGACAGATACATTGCTAGACTCAAATTTCACCCAGAGGATTTTCGTAGGGAAAGCCACCCCCTGGTCCTCCAGTGGAGAGGTTAGAATAAGGGTACCCTTTTTCTGTAGTCTATTTTAGTAGGGAAACTCTCCCCCAAACCAGGGTAAAAGGGCACTACTGAACTACTGTGGCACTAGCCCCTGTGAAGTCTATCCAAAAATGGGACCCCAGCTCACCGCTCGAACCGAACCGCTCCAAGAAGCTCCACGTAGTGCATGTTGCTCACCGAGTCGTACTTCAGCGGCAAGGTCTGCGAAGACGTCCCGGACAGCGAGAGGAAGCCGCCCGGGAGCTCCTCGCGGGAAAGACTCCCATTAAGATGGAAGTCCTACAGAAACATTAATTACACAGACTCACTTCCCAAGTAGGCGGGTGAGAAAAGTCCAACATATATCTGTTTACCACGAATTTGGTCTTTCAAGCGAGTCACAAGTCCAAGATTTCGGGGTGATTGGAGGAATCTCCTTTTGGGGAACCTGGTTGGGTTCCATGCTAGCTTGCAGGTTAGAAGTGTTGATTGTTTGGCCCATGAAAAAGTCAAAGGGCGGTTTGAAGAGACCTGAACAGAGTGTGGTCTGCTTGGTCGGGTTGCACCCCCCCCCTAAGCGTCCCTTCAGCCCAAATTGGGCAAAAGGCACGTGTCTTTTGGTTAAGGAAGAGCCCGTGCCGCAACTCTTCACGCCAAACAGCTTCGTCAACCTTACAACTTCACACACGTAGTGACAAAGGAGACCCCAACAAAGACTGCGAGCATCGGTAAGCTGGGGGAAGCCACAAACACAGTGAACTCAAATGTAAATGTAGATGACGTAAAACCAGGGAGGAATCAGAGGTGGGGGGTGGGGCAGAGTTTTACTGGGGATGGACATGTAAATACCAACAAACAATGGTTTGGCATGGTTTCTTAGGTGGAGGACTTCGTCCATGCACAGTATGAAGTAACCCCCCCAATCAAACCCAGCCGCTCAGATCTCCGCACTCCTTGCGCCTGAGCACCTTCATCGCGACCTGCGCGGAAGAGTTCCCCTGATGCAATGTTAGGGGTTGGTGGTGCTTTTTTCTTCACCCGTTTTAGGTTGGTTTAAAGGAAAACCAAAAGGGAATCCACCATTTAAAGGTCTCTCTATTTAAGACGTACCGTCGTGTCCCATTCAAACACCCCACCAAAGTGAAGCATCACTTGAACATCGTCCAAGAGCCGTTGACTTTTGGTTATTCAGGTTTGCAACGACTTCACAGGTGTTTCAAGCCCTGCTGAAATGGTTAATGTAGGTGTTGGGCTTGGGCGGCTTACTCTAGTCGGGCCCTTCCATAGCTTGTCTTCAAGTCCCAGCAAATCAGTGTATAGCATATATAAATTTGACTTATACCACTGGTGTCTATATATATATATACATATGATCCCGTCCTCCGCCCTCCTACCCCCCCCCTTCTCAATGGCATTCCCCCCCCCACCCCACCCCCCCAAGAGCCCCCCAGAGCCCCTGCCCCCACGCACTTTTGGGTGCCTGTGTGCTTCGGGCTTGCTCCGCACTTTTTGGATATGTCTATTCCCTGCCACCCGCTCACGCATTTATTTTCATGCGTGCTTATTCTTCTTTTGTCTGTTGTCAGAGAGATGGTTTTCATTAGTGTCCGTTGCACGTCAGTTCCTTCTAAACTTCCTTTCACAAGCAAGCACGCCACCCAAACCAAACGCAAGCAAGCCCAAAAACCACTCCACAGGGCGGGCAAGCCGTTCCCCAAAACGCATCCCAAATCAATCTTCCAGATTTCCCAATCAGCCCACTCACCATGCCACATATGGGGGGGAGGGGGGGGGGGGGGCTGGACCAAATATATATATATATATATATGTTTATATATATATATATAAACATATATATATATATATGTTTATTTATTTATTTGCCATGGTCAAGCCCCTATGGGCCATGTTGTTGGTTTCCTCAAATAATAAACCCTATTTACAGGTTCATGGCTGTCCCTACAAGACTGGTTCCAGTGCAGTCACCCTGGCAGAAGAAAGCGACCCTTTTGGCGGTTGGCTACTTGTTGTGGGGAAGCCATCTAACAAAAAGGGAGAACCACTTGGCTCACCTTAGCACAAAAACGCAAAGGGCCCTGCCTTCAGCAAGTACTTCCGCAGCGCCAAGGTACGTGAGTAGCCGCTGCTGATGGTCTCCTCGCGAAAAGAACAACTGTTTTGCAGGGGCGGCCTTGGATTCAGTCAGTCTCTTTCGGCCCCTAGGGAAACCAAAAGTGATGGTTCTTGGCCCATACTAAACATGATATGTTCAGATGGTGTTTCATATTTGGCGAAACCCGAGAATATGGTTTGAACAAAATGGAGGAGATCCCAGTGGTTGCCTAATGCGGCGTGTCTTTTTGTTGAGAGGAGTGTCCACTTTTTGGGGAAATGCACCCGTGAGGCATCTCTGCTCCGAGAACCTGAACATAGACGGTTGACCTTTCAACTGCAACTGGACCAAACCTGGAAACACACGCACGCACGCACCCACACACACACACACCTCCAAAAGTTGCGTTTTGGGGCAAGAGGTGCAAAAGAAAGGTTGCAGCTGCAAAACAAAGCAGCACATGATGGATGTCTGGTCAACATCTCGCGACTGGTCCACATCCGCTGCCTCCATGACCACCCCCCGGGAAAAGTGGAATGAGCATGAGCTTGTAATTCGAACCAACTGTCCACTGAGTGCACATAGGCCAGCAACACCTCCGGACTTCCAATCAAAAGTCACACTGGCATTTTTTTCAGGGTGTGATTTTTAAGAGATAGGACCTGGAACCACTCTGAGCCGGTTGGTGGAGATGAATCCATCCACCGAAGTGTCCTCTATGTTACACCGACCTGTCCCTGGGCCCTGGGCATAAGCTTCACAGGCTACCTCCACTACGCCTGCACCCCCCCCCCCCTGGCCACCTCTCGCAGGTAATGTGCTGCATACAGAGCTGGTCAAAGCGGGAAAAGGATTTGTTCCCCCCTCTGATTGAAGCTCGGCATGTTCGGCCAACTCAAAAAACACGTGGGGCATGCTTCCTTTGCCAGGTAACCCTCAAACAACGGGTCTGTTCGTTGGGTATTCAAACAGGGGTTGGGGACTTGAAATGCATGCAGCGGGGGCTCACATGTCAACTTACAAGCTGCATGTAAACATGTAGAGTAAGAAAAGAGAGGGCCCGGGGGTTCCACAGGTGGCTGCATTCCCAAAAAAGAATGGCGGGTCCCTCAACATGTCGCTTGCCTTTTGACTCCCAAGCTTGTGGTTCCAATCAAGGCGGCCCCACGCCACACACACACACACACACTCTCGCACACAGTCACACTCACAGTCACACAGCCACACGCAGTCTCACACACTCACAAAGCCACAGGCAGTCTCTCTCACACACACACACACACGCAGTCTCTCACACACACACATACACGCCTGTACCCCCACCTAGTCAGCCCATGTCAGCCCCTCCATGCCAAGGAATGCATATTATACACATTTGTTACAATAATTTTAACCAATTGAACAAAGGCGTCCCCAAGTAGAGGATATACCCACGAATCGGCGAGCTCGCCGTCAACAGGCAAATACCTTGCTCAGGCCGCGCAAAATAGGCTCTTGCTTCCTTCGCTTCTTAAAAATAAAAGCTACTTCCGAGGCCTTGACTAGATGGGCCAAAGCCAGGTGCCCACAACCGTCCACATGATGTAGACGTCATCCGCAAGTGCAAAGTTGCAGGGGCACAAACCCCAGCAAACTCTGCCGCCGGAGCCCTAGAAACAGTTGGCTCTCAGAGTGATCCAATGGATTCACTTGCTTCTTAAGTAATGGTGACCCTGCAGACAGTCAACCGTGTGGAACTATGTTGGGAGTGTTTGCCTCAAACGTGAAGCATCCCCTCCCCCTCTTAAAAGTGATGCCGCTATTCATGAGCAAGGGGTTTCTGATTGTTCTGGGTGAGTTATAATATTTCATCAACCTGAACTAAAATAGTTGGGGAGCTATTCCCCACATAAACCACAAAATTTGGGGTGAGGTCGTGTGAGGTCCCATAATTCACCCAGATTGTTCATCCTGGGTCCAAATTCTCCCAGCCCCAAATCCGCTCCTGACGCTCCTCCACATACACACAGATCACCGTGGCCTGCGCTCGGCGAAACGAACTATTGAGGCGACACTTCCGTCCCTGTGGCATCATGGGTGCGTCTCAGAATAAAGCCGAACCAAAAAAAAGATGGCTACAGTTTACTTTTGGTTTCCCTTGGGGGCCCAAAACTAGTTACTAGTTGGTCTCCCTTAAACAAACACCCTCAAAAAACAACTCCCAGTTGGTTTCCCTAAAAAAACTACTCAAAACACAAGTTTCGTCAAACAAAAAAACAGAAAACCCACTGAAATGGTTACTTGGTTTCCCTCAACTCAGAAACCAGTCTCCTCAAACAAAAGAAACCCAAGAAAATCCCGGGCCGCCCAACGCCGCTGCCATCGCTTCGCTACGGGCCTTCCGGAAGGGCGCGCGGAGCCCGAAGAGCTTCACGCTCTGCCCCCCGCTGTTGTCGATCAGCAAGAAGAACCAGGCCACCCCGAGGCACCAAATCAGCAAGAACCTCCGATTCCGTCGATAGCCGTCCAAACCAAAAATAAAACTTGATCAAAGAGGTTGGAACATGAAGGATGACCATTGGGTCCTTGGTTGGCAAATGGGGGTTGATCAAAAAGGTGATTGGAACATGAAGGATGACCATTGCTTGGGAAATGAAAAGAGTTGATCGAACTCATTTTTTCACGTGGGAAAAGTTAGTCATGGTCATTGGGGGCCAGGAATATTGATCAACCCGCACAATCCCAAGGCGTGGACGGACCAAAGTTCTACAAGTTCATGGGAACCCGTTTGGCTGGCTTGTCATTTTTAGGGGGAGCTGTTGGGTGGTGTTAAAGGGAAACAAACAGGAAACAAACCATGTTGGGGGTTCCCCCATTGAAAAGACCACACCCATTGAAGTGTTCCTTCCCATGATGGAATGCTCCCCTGCAAATAACCGTGGAGGCCAAACATGGGGTCAGCAAAACCGAGAAATTCCCTAAACGTAATGGCTTTCGGTGTTCCATGTTGGTAACTCAGGATTCATGGTACCAATCTTCTCGCGACGGTGTTTTGGGGTTTCGGAGCCACCGGAATCCCCCCAACATTAAATGGGTTCCCCACCCGCTACGACCAACCTATTCCGCCTTAACGAAAACGCCAAGCGCCAAGTGGCACGTAGGAATTGGTGTCGAAGCTGCCGAACAAAGGGAAGGTGCCCACGTAGCAAAGGTGATCCGGCCACTCCCAGAGGCAGCCTGACGTCGGAAGGTCGCGGGAGCCCAGAGGAGGGTCCAGGTACTTTCTAAGGAGGTACTTGGACCCCGAGTTCCACCCCCCAAAAGCCATCCTCAGAAGACTTCTGTTGGCGGGGTGTCCCATTAAAGTGGAAGCCCCTCAATTTTTTGGGAGAACACCCTGAACACCCCCTGCTTCAAGTAAACCATACCGCTCATGACGGTGGAAACGGAAAGTCGAGTTGCTCTTTGGAATAAGTCTAGTTATTCGTGTGTATATATATATATATGTATATATATATATAATATGAGCATGCCGCGGCAGCGCCTATTTTCACCTTGAGCAAACATGTAAAAGGTCTATGACTCCGAAGGGCTTGTTCATCAAATCAGTGTACAGTTCGAATATCAATCATTTGGGAAGCATCCGTAAAGCGGCTCCGGAAGCCAACATGCTTGTTTCCTTCATGTTTTAGTTGTTGAAGCCAATCTTCGCACGCCGTCAAACGGGACATGGTCTCCGGTTTGGAGCATGTCCATGGGTGCCCTATGCCATATGCCAAACACGGCCCGGGCTCAATAGGGGGCTCTCTGAAAGCAGAAGGGGTCAAGTCGTACACTTAGCTGGTCTGGGAAACTTCTCAAAGTTCATCACCCTGTCCCTCGTGATTGGCCTTTGCCGCGATACAGTGAGCCGCGCCAATTCTTGAAAGTTTGAGTTTGGGTTGCAAGGTTGTCCTATTGCCACCTTGGGACAAGTTTGGCACGATGATGCCTGGCGGTGGACAAGCGATCAGACGCAAGAAACCTTCTGCTCATCTGGCTTCTCAGCTAGTGACAAGGGTCACCCAACCTTGTCGCGCTTGCCACCAAAATGGTCTGCCCCAAAAAGGGGCAAGGAGTGAGCCTGCTCAACGCATAGCCTGTACCCACTGCTTGATGTTATGATTAGACCCTTGAAACGATGAACACGTGGCAAAGGGATCCTTGTGTGAAGGGTGCCCTTGTAACCAGCCCATGCTAAAGTGATGTGCCCAAACTGAGAATCAACCTCTAGAAATAGATCATGCCGGTTTCGCTGTAAAACCATCTCGAAAGGGGTTCCTAGATTTGGTCGTGGCGGGGCCGGGCTCGAAGAATCTGAAACTAATCATCTTCTCGAGTGGCCATAGTAGTAGTCGAACAAGACCACCACCTTGCAGCGTGATTGTGGGAAACCAGTCAAATATCAAACAAAATTCAAACCCATGCTCGTGATAGTGTTTTGACATGTTCTGACTTTCAAGAGTATTCCTCTTTTCCACTCACTTCTGCTTTTCGCTTGCAAAGACGGACGGCCATTGTCCAGAAAGGAACACCTTCACCAGGGGCGCAACCATCTATCTCAGCCTGTGCTGCCATCCAAAAGCGAGTGTTTCATTCTGGTTCTTAGTTCCTGAAACAAATGCCAGACAGATCCAAGGAATACCCTGACTCTACAAGTCTTACACCAATGCCTTGGAGCCGACATGGCTGGTGTCATTGAGTCATGTACCCCAAGTGTTCCTGCTACAGCTTGGGACCGTATAACCCACAAGCCCATAGTACCCATAGTGTTCGGGATGTTCCCCTCAAAAGTGAGAAAGCCCTGACAAAAGGGACAACCCCCATTTCGGGAGGTCCCTTACAAGACAGACCCAGTGAACGCTGCTCCGGTTTTCACCGCCCCAAATCGCCGGCCAGGCGCAAAGAGCGTGAGCAGCGCCGCCGTGTTCAGCGGCACTAGCAGAGACACCAGGCGCCCCAGGCGCGAGTATTTGTAGCCCTCGAACTCGATGACCTTTGACCCAAAATGAGATATGTTGAAACACCCCGCAAAATGAGTGGTGTCCTTTTGGCTTCCCTTTAAAACCAGCCTGAAAAGGCTAAAGAAAGACACACCCATGTAAACATGTTATGAGAGTTTCTCAGACTGGTGGATTCCCCTTTTTGGGGTTGGTATTTAAGGTGAACAAAACAACATTTTAGGCGTTGCTTAGGTTACACGTATTGTTCTAGCAGTCTAGCAGTGGGAGAACAATGGGCGCAGCTCTTGGCGAGTGTTCACAGGGAAAAAAATGCGGAGGGTCTGCAACAGCATAGCCATCAAAAGATGACCCCCGCCCCCCCCTTCCCCCCCCCGCAAATATCCCAAATCACCCGAAATAGCATAGCACCATGATCTACCAGTCGTTTGTCTCTTGCGCACACCTCATACCCTCCCGCCAGTTTGGAACCGCACTGCGAGGTGCTGAAAGAGGAACCTGCTGGTGAGTTCCATGTTGCTGACAGGGAGACTTCCTCCTGGATATCAATGGAGAACGTCTTTCCTCAACTTTCCCACCCACTGCTTCGATTCCATACCCCAAGCTCTAGAAACTAGAACTCACTTCCACACCTCTGCTGTAATTACCAGTAGCGTGGTCTTCTCCTCGATGCCGTTTCTTACATTATCTCCTTCTAAAAGACATGAAGACGCCTGTGCCCATCGGCTCCGCGCCGAAGACGGGGGACGGGGCCCCCTGCCCGGTTCTGTGAATCCGTGATGCACTGGACACAGGCCTGGAGAGATCTGACTGGCAAACCGAAGATACCAGGGGGTTTGGGGGCAAATCATTTTAGAAATCCCTCCATAGATCACCTTGGTAAGCTAGTTTGGCTTCAGGTGAGCTGGCAAGAACCTGGGCAAAGGAAAGCCCAAGAAAAGGAGCCTCATGAGTCAAGTCGCAAGCCTCTGGGTGAGGGTGCTTTGGCCAAATCCACGGAATGCATGAAGGGTCTCTGGGTTTTTTCAGGAGTCCAAAGGCTCGCTCGGGCGGCATGACTTGTGGTTTCCATCGGCACCCAAGGTCCCATTTTGCTGAAAGGGTGCCCTTTTTGGGTTGAAGTTTGAAGGGCAAAAGGGACACCAACCAAATTATCAGTTCCTCTTTCACAAACAAAGCTCCAGGCAAACCAAGTTCTGCGAATCGGATTCGGAGCCAGCGTAGGACACGAAAGCTGTTGGAAATGACAACTCATGAACCTGGGCCAACCCTGGGGTACACTAAAACCTGTTTGACTTTTTCTCTCTCCGGCTCTCTCTCTCTCTCTCACTTCTTGCTTTCTCTCTCTCTCTCTCTTGCTCTCAGTCTGGCAGCCATTGTGTGTCAACCTTAAAATGTACCAGTTTATGCATTACATGCTCTGGGAAGACCCCAGAAAGCCCAGCTCGATTTGTAGAGCAACCCATTGTAGAGGAACTCCGAAACACTTCTTTTGGGTGGCAATTCCCTGCTAATCCGCGAGGTTCATTGATCTGGGGTGAAGACTTTGGATGGCAAATCCAGTCACTGCTTCGAGCAGTCAAACTTTGTGTAGAAGGCCTGCAAGTCACCAAGAGCTGAAACAAGGCATGGGCTCACTTCCAGAGTGGATTGCACAAAGAAAAGTCCGAAGTGTTTATCTGCCACCAACACTCTGCCCCAAAAGTACCAAGTCCAGGGCCGTTCCTTGTTGGAAGCTGGTCCTTCAAAGCCCATCAACTCTCCAAGCTTCGGATAGGAGACCCCCTCAAAATGCGTTGATGTCCATTTACCCTAACAGCGTCAAGGCGATCTTTCCAAACTTGCGCAGCCCGGTGTATCCCTTGGACAAGATCCTTCCTGTGGCTTGAGCCAATAGCGCCTTGATCAAGGTTCAAACCTCAGCCAACGTTTTAGGTACTTCTACCATCAACCCTGTGAAGGAAAACCGTGTGAGAGTTGTACCAAACGTTGGGCCTGAGTCATGAATCCAGGAGTGCCCTCGGAAGGCAGGAATCCTCACAATAACGACTAAGGGGGGGTATCCCTAATCAATGTGAGTTACATGCTACACCATGTCATAAAAAGGCTCGATTCGAAACCAACACAACTATACATTATGTATACAACATGCTTGAGCAACACGGGCATGTCTGAAAAGAAGGGCCACAAGTTTGGGATAGGTACCATTCATCTTGACAGATCTTGACTCTGGGGTTCTCATGTTTGAAGAAGCGCGCATACCACAGGTACACTCGCCCTGCCGGACCATGTGGATCAAGGCTGATTTGTCAGATCAGAACGCGTGCCTCAATCCGCGAGAAGATTGTCTAAAGTATGTGTCAAAGTAGGAAAGCCCCTCCAAAAAATGGTGGGTGTCTGGTTCTACCAAGGTAAAAGTTGCACTCGAAAAGCAAAGCAACACTAGACACACACGCACACACACAAACGCACACGCCCGCCCGCCGGAGCACGCGCCCGAAGGCTCCCGCCCGCACACTGGCCCGCGCACCTTTGCGCACATCCTGACAAAGCAGAACGAATCCCCTTCAGAGCGCTTCCGGAAACCCGAACTCTCGCGCCTGCCCAAGATCGTCTTGCTTCTTGATGGCTGCATTACCTTGCGGGTACTCTGGAATCAAAAGTTTTTGGGGTCCCCCCATTTTGACATATACTCCTTCCCTAAAAGGACATAAGAAAATTGTGTCGTCCCCCCTGTTGTTGTGATCCCTTCCTCCTATCAGTCCCTGCTTCGTACTTTGCAAGAAATTGCAACATGTCAAAAAAGATGGGACAGTCAAAAGGTGCTGCTGGTTGATCTCAAATGGACACCCTTCCTTAAAACAAGAACAACAGTCGCAAACGAACTCTGTCCAAGTGGCGCAGCACCAGGGTGTTCCTTAGCCAGGCGAGACGTCCCTTGACTGCAGAAAAAGGCCCGTTTCGGGTCAACCCTAAACAACCAACAAACACGGTGCCCTTTCTCAGATGCCCAGTGGGTCTCCGTCGGGGAAAAAAAAAACACACTTTCTTGGTAGTTGACGTTAAAGGGGCCCGCCCCTGCAAACAAAGAGGAAACAAGCATTACTTGGGAGTCTGGGCTTGTATCCCATAGCCCCTGGTGGGCTTTTCCTAAATGTGAAGACCTTAGAAACTAGTCGGCTTTGAAAAAGTTCCGTGCTCCAACTGTGGAATTGGCCTTTCCGAACAGAGGATGTTGACAGGTGCAACAAACGCCAACCAAAAAAAGTACCCAGTTCGAAGGCAAAGAAGACGCGAGAGCCACATTCAGTTTGAAACAACATTCCCGAGACCCTCAGGGAGCTTCCCCCACCCCGGTTTTTCTCCCGAGCCCTACTCCCGCCAGGGCTCTGCACTGACTGCCGGCAGGTCCAAAAGAAGTACAGCGCAAAGGCCCCCGCAGCGTAAGCTCGGCGCAGGTTGGAATTGCCACACACCCTCCCACCGAGAACTCACTTCAAATCGAGTGGCTTGGCCAAGCTCGCAACTACTCGCTCCAAAACTAAATTGGCCTTCCCGAACAGTATCAAGTCCAGGAACTCAATAATCAACTTCGAAGCAACATGGAAGTGCTTCTTTTTGAGCAAGGGCTTCGGTGCACCAAACCATGCTTGCTGATGGGAGGGCGGTTACTTCAATGAACCAATCATTGCATTCCTCCCACACGGCGTTTGTGCACCTATAGAAAACTCATGTCCTCTTCAGGTGCCATGGCAGCGTGGGGGGAGGGATGGTAACTCACCGCGAATATTCAGCAACCATGTGGTTGCAGATCTATTGACAAAAATCTCATGGAATCCCAAGTAGAACCCCCTCTGGCCGGGGGGGGGTACATGTTGACCTGGGAAAGGGAACATCAAGAGACCCTCTGCGACTAAGTATCAGCCCGAATGCAAACTTTGGATTGGCTTCAAATGTTAACCACCCTCTAGACTGTGAAAACTGTTGAATCTGAAGGTAGACTCCAGGCTATCATTTCACCAGTGGCTTTGCGGAAGGTAAGGCCGCCAGCCTCTCTGCGCGGCTCTATCGGGCGGTGGGAAAGCGCAAACAATCAAAATCGGAAGTGAAACCCTTAAACGTTGTCAGAGAACCACGAATTTCGGAACCCCAGCTAAGGAAACACCCAAATTGGCTTCGCCCTTTTGGGGGCCGCCACCCGCACTTGGACCCCAGCTAAAAAAATGTGTTGCTGGTTGAAAGGGAAAAAAAGGAACCCCAACAGAGCCCTAAGGGCAAAAAGGTGAGCGGCGCTTGCCGTAAATTTAGGTGTCTCCTTTGCAGGGAGAAATGGGCCTGTTCAATGAACAAAGGCATCGCTCAGCATATGAAAGTGTAGGCTGCAAGCCCATGTTTCCTGTTTCGGCTAGGATGAAATCTATGTATGGGCTACCCAGTTTCCCAGTAACTCTGGGAGAAGCAGGAGCATTTTGCGGTCGACCATGTGGAGTGGGGAACCGCGCAAACACAAAGGAATTCGGTGCGATTGACAACTGGGGGGCCCTTCAGCAATCCCAAATACCCTTACTAAGGCCTGTCACAAACTCTTTGGTTGTGTACCAGCTACTGAACAACAAGTACATATGCCTTTTTTTTTCTCAAGGGATCGTTGTTTCATTAAACATGGGTAAGGACCGCCCGTTTCAACGAGACAGCAACCACGGCATGTGTGAAAGTCGCCCTCAACAATCCTCGCTCCTGGGCCTGCTCCCTGATGAACACATCCACCAGCTGGGATGGAACAAAACACCCTACAGAGTATGTTTCCCCCTTAAGAATCAACCCACCAAAGGGAGACTCACTTGGAATTCATGTTCAGCGCCAGCAAAAGGGATATATTTTTTGCGGGACCTGAGGAAATCTGACCACCTGAGTCAGAATCGCGAACGGACCTCACATCGAACATGGATTCCGGAAGACTGGGAGGATATCGCTTTCTGTTTGGTGGGCTCCCCACAAAAACGGGTTGCGTGTTCCCACGAAAATCACTTGGAAACTTGGGGCGGGGGAAAAAGGAAGGAGAGTGAGGCTTCCAATCCATAAATTAGACCCAAGCGGCTGTACACCACCAAGCAAGGGAACTCCAGGAAGGTTACGATGAGGCCCCTGTGGGCGGTTTCGTCCTCAGTGTCCCCAGACCCCAAACGGCCCCAAACCTCATTTGAGGTCTTTGGTGGTACAAAGCCAAAAGAGAAATCGATGATCATGATCATCACCCGGACCCGTCTGAGAAACACCCTACGAATGAATCCTTACCATGGTTGTCTATGCCTATTCCTTCACCACCAGTCACCCAATGTAAAGATGTCTTTTGACCATGGCACAAATTGCTGCCTATTCGCCAAAACACACCACCACTCTAAAAACACATCCGGTGTTGGTCCACATATTAGTCTGTGTTCAGGCAACGTGATTGGCCTGGTGATGTGCTTGTGATTGCTCTGGGGGATCCAGTAAAATTAAACCGCCAAACAGAATGGTCCCGGTTCCGAACCCGTAAAAAGGGAGAAAGGGTCTGAACAAAACCAACACTTATCGGTGTGGGTCAAAATAGCTACCCAAAATGGCACCCTGGCAAATGGAAACATGGACTAAAACCCGCGGTTTTGGCGAGCCATATCCATTCCCTTTAGGTTTCCTTATCAAGAAAACTCAACATTCACAGCACCTTCCACGTGCCATCAAATGGTACCCGTCAAATGGCAACCCGGGTGCCCTGACTTGGGGATTCGTAGGACCTACAGACCTACATTATGGTTTTCACTTCTTTTGCCCTCGAATAATCCGTTATCAAAGTCAATCCTGTGGTAAAAGGCAACCACGCACAGCTTGCCAAAAGATGTTATTATGCATGTGTCACTTTTTGAGGAATCCCTATTTGGTTGGTTTTGGAGGGAAACCAAGAGGAAAACCACCATTTTGGGGGGTTCCCTAATAAAGACACTCCCGTAATATGCAGGTTGAATCGACCTCATCGTCTGGGCAAGTGATCGAACCTGCGCGCGCCAAGAGTCTACCAGGCCGCCCATAGCTGAAATAATACACCCGCTCGCATCGCACGCGCGATGCGCCCCGGAGGTTTGTAGGGCAATTTATTTTCTGATTATTGGCGGTGTTTGCTGGTTGAAAATTGTACCACTTCGGGGAAATCGGAAAACTGGATATTTATGCAACCAGCAACCGTGTTTGAAAGCGTTCCCTACCAGTAGACAGATGTTCTTAGCCAAAGGGAAACAAACCAACATGCAAAACTGACATCTGAATGGATTAAGTTGGAGGAAAAAGCTAGCAAGCAACTCTTGACGATAGTGGCCAATAGGATTAGTATCAACTATCTCCTCCGCATGCTTTGGATCGTTTCCACAAGACAAGATCGTGTTCACTGACGTTGGCATATATTGAAGCCCCTGCACTCTTCTGGAGACTACAACTCTGAACTCTGTTGTCAACCACCTTCGCCTTCGGATCCGGAGTGCTCATTTCATGTGTCATCATTCTCAATGCTTTGGCTTGAGCCTGCAGCTGAATGGTCAAGTAGTTCGGCTGTTGGTGGATGGCGCATTCAACAAATAAATGTATATATATATATATATGCAGATATGCACACATGTAGATATTGCATTATTCACGTGCAATACATTCAAGAGGTCAGCACGATGCCAATCAGCGTCTTGCCCGGACGCTTTATTGGGACGGTGTCCATTGCATGTGCATATATGTAGAATGTACGTATGCTTATACACAAGGTGGTCCCAAATAACCACGCCCAAGCATGTCCGAACGCCAATGAACGAATATTATTCGACGCCCAGAAACCATTGCTGGGGACTGACTTCCCACCTGCACCATGGTGGGCTGATTGAAGCCGCAACCCTCGCTGTCCGTGCTGGTCTGGAGAAAGGCGATGAGCCCTGCCGCTGGGATTTCAACAATTCCAACGTGTTTGGACCACATGGATTTCGTGCACCCGGTTTCTGGCTGCTGCCAGAAATGCGGGTAATGAGAAATGGAATGACCCCTATAAACACCATCCGACTGGATGTGTCCTTTAAGCAAATCCCGAAACGGTTCATTCCCTCATTCCCTGCTGAGCACCAGCAAGTTTTGGCTGGTCTTTTTGCGAACTCATGCAGGGAACCTCAACCAGAAAAAAAGGGCGAGCGCACGAAACACGCGCTCGCCTCACGTGAGCAACACCCGCGAAGTTGGCAGCAATTGTTGCCCCGAAAGCTTGTAGCCGTTCGCGTGCTTCCGGGAAAAAAGGACCAACCATTTTGCGTGGTTGCCAAATTTCAGAACCAGCAGGGGGCGGCGGGGTTGTCCCCCGCTTGGAGCGAGACAGGAGGGTTTTGCAAGAACACAGTGCTTGAAAATGCCAGCTATATACTTCCGCAAAAGGATGACAGAAGCAGCTGTGTTTGCTTCCCACACAATGATCCGGCCCCCAAACAATCTGATCATCACTGGGAAAAATGAACTCGCCAGACTGGTACCTGCCGGGCTACCTGGAACAAAACCGGCCCGGCCATGACTTCAAGGAACTCTGGCCAGGGTTGGGCCAACTTGTTGAAGGATGTGCCCTGTAACTGGGCACAGGCCTGGTTGCTTCAGCACGCCCGTGAACAATGCGATATGTTTCCCCCCAAAAACCGGTCAAAATTGGCTTGTTTCCCTGCGTTTTGCTGGGACATTTCGGTGGTGTCGTCCCTAACCCAATAGTGGACGCATCAAACGATACTGTGGATGGACGAAATCCTGCACCACCTAAGAAGCCCTGGAATGGTCTGATTCCCTGTACAAACCAACAAACAGTGGTTTCCCCATGGTTTCTTAGGTGGCGCAGGGTTTCGTCTATGCACGGTAGTGTCAGTTGCCAGAACCTTCTTGCCCCGTGTTGCGACTCACCAGCCTCCTGGGAAGCCCTTTCCTGGGCACATCTTGAAGGCCCTTGGAGCTATGAGAATCCTTGTAAACACCTGCGAAAAGCTGCAACAAATGCGCGGCCATGTAAACAACAAACACACCATAGGAGCCTTAGGAGACAGCTCCCTTAAAACTAACAACTCCAACATAAATGAGCCGCGGAGACCCACGGTGAGAGGAAAGCCCAGTAAAGCAGCCCAACATCCGAACACCCTTGGCTTGCGTGAATAAAGAGGAATCTTAAAAAATGTGCTCCGCATTTCGCCTACCTTTGCGCGAGCCACCCGCAGAATAGTACCCCACCTCAAAACCCATCCCTGCAACTGCGTCGCTTGGAAGAGGATCGCGAAACTTGGCCTTTGAACCCCATTCAACCATATGGCACCAACCTTGTTATGTCTGTTGTTCCCTTGTGTCTGGGAACATGTCAGAGTGTCGAATCCACTTACTGACCATTCTGGTGTATACGAAAGGCAAACAACGTATGGTTGGAAGGGCCCTTGGCTGTGGCTAAGCCGTGGCTATTTTGCTGCATGGCTTATCTTGCAGCCTATTCCACCATTGAGTGGCCTCTCCTTGGGACGAGGCCCAGTGTGTGTTTTCGGCTTAGTACCGCTATGAGAGATCACAGTGGGAAGCGCCTGCGGGGAAACGCTGCCGTTCGAGGATGTCACGCTGTCTTGCCCATATGCCGGCCAGTGGTGCGGGTGGCGGGCCTGACTAGGCAGCAGCACTTCCTCTGGGCCACACTTGTTTGGGCCTCTGAGCCCGAGGGGCGCTTAGCCAGCTTGAACTCCAAGTGAGGCAACGATGTTTACGGAGCCTCTTGCGAAGCCAGGAGGGATGGCGCCTTTGGCAGTGGCTCTGCACTTCCCACCTAGCACAGAGGCTTTCGCTCGGCTCGCTCGCTCGCTCGCTCGCTCACGGCAGGGTCCTTCTTATTGCGATCCCGGTATGCCGACCCATGTTGCTGCCCTTGGTTCCGGAACCAGCAAAAAGTGACTTGGGGCCCGGGATCCACTGAGAAGACAACAGAAACCTCAAAGGCTGGCCCGATTCGGAAATTCGTACAGTCACATAAGTGCGACACCCACGACCTCCTACCCCCCCCTCCCCCGCGGACCCAAGATACACACCGGTTAGTTGCATGTCTGCGCCTCCCCACATACTTCCCGGCGCTGCAAGAAGGAGACGTTTTCCCAAAAAAAGACTCCATAGCCGCGATGCAGGTTCCATGTTCATCGAAGGAATAGTTCACGCACAGCCCGGAAACCCGCATCGAAGCAACCGCCCGATCTCAGACGCCGGCGCTCTTTCACCTGGCTGAGGGACGGCTTGAAAACTTGAGAAATACCAAGGAAAACCATTTAAGTGGTGGTTTTCTTTCATTCCCAACACCCTGGGTCATTCCCTACTAAGCACCAGCAAGACAAGGAGCCCAGGCATTCCATTCCATTCCCCTGTATAGTAGGTAAAGCTAACCCTTTCGATACCAAAAAGGAAATGGCTCGTTACCTAGTATGGTGGTATCTGCAATCTCGGAAAGCCAACACGATGCACCAAGAATTCACATGGAGTCGGGAACTAGTTTTTTTCACGCAATACTTGGTGTACCGCAATTCAACGGTCCAAGACCATCCCTCGCAAACCCAACCAAATTAGCAGTCTTCCCATGGGCATGAACCCACACTTTACACGGTCTCTCCTTTTAGTTTCCCAGGCCAAGCTCCTCCTAAAGTTGAGGTGGGAATGTGTGGCATTGCTGGTCCCTATGAGTTCCCATTTGGACTCTCGAGAGCCTGGGGAGGGTAATTTGAAAGGATGCCATCTTCATGGTCCATTCCTTGGTGGGAACCAACTCATTCCATCTGAGTTGGAATCGCCGCCATCCCGAAAAGCCGTTTAACCCTCACTGGCTGGGGCCTTGTCCCAGTGGTCCCAGGGCTCGATGGTTCCGGTGATCTCCTGGCTCGTGCGTCCGGGGCTGGGATAGGTTCGCCTCAAAGGAATCGGACCAAAAACTGCTCAAGATTTGCCGGGTTTTCGTCTCATGTTTCCCTCCCCAAACACATCCAAAATAGGAAGGACCCAATTGAACGGATCCCTCTGACACTCTGGCACAGGTCTAGGGTGTGTTTCAAAGGGAAGCCAAGGGGAAACAACCCTTCATGTAGGATCCCATATTTTGTGCCAGACGGTGGGCACTTTGAAAACCAAAGTTAGTCATGATCTTGTGATGCGCTTGTGGATCCGAGGGTGGCAATTGGAAGGGGGCTATCTATAAAGACCCTGAACCCAGCTGCAACAAGCTCAACCATGTCTTCACGACACAGACCTATGCATGCCTTTCAACAGTTCCTTGGATTCAAATTTCGAGTTGGACCCTTTTGGGAACCGCGGTTAAAGGAGACCAATGTATCATGAATCAGTCTCCATTTGGAGTGGCCCATGGCTCTATTTCGAAGGCCTCCCATGGGTGCCCTCAGTTGGTCCAAGTCCAATCCTGATTGCGGCTCCCACCTGCCCTCTGGGCCTTCCAACCAATCCCTCTGCCCCCAAAGTTGGCCCAACCGCGAATTCAAAACAAAAACACGGGATACTTCTTCAGCATCCCTGCACTTCAAACAACCGCCTTTGTGTAAAGGATACTAGGGTCGGAATGATTTTGCATACCATAGCCAGAACCGCTTCGGTGCCGAATCGCTGGCGCCCTGGGTAGGGCTCCCACTCGGCCGAAGACTTTTCCTGAGAACCCATCAAATCCCTTTAGAAACAGGCCACATCCCACTTAGAAATCGGTCAAGTTGTCCCATGAAGCCGTCAACATTTACCTAGAAACCGGCAAACTCTCCCCAGAAAGCCGCCCATCCCTACTCAGCCCAGCCTGGTTGTTGGCATCCCAGATTCGTACCTTGCAAATCGACTTGGCCGGCTTTTGAGGGTACCCTAATTATATTGAAATTGTTAAAAGAAACCCTGAAGAAAACCAACCATTTTGGCAGTTTCCCTATTTTGACACATACTCAGGCACCCCCAATCTCTGGACCTACCTTTTATGTTCAGGGTATAATGGGTATCTAGCCGCCCGCAGAAAGAATGGTATATAGCTGGACCATTTCCCTGTCAGGTGCCATGGCAACCAAAACCCTAAACCCTGGCTCCATGA